TGGGACATAGGAATGACATATGACCCTTGGTTGAAAAATATTGATGTATTGGAAAGTGCTCCATGGCACACTGAAACCAAAGCAAGGAATGGGGCAGGGAAAGAAGAGGGGAGAGTCCTTTTGGTTTGGGAGCCACAGCCAGTGGAGAAATACCTGGGTCAGCTTCGAGCAGGGTAAGCACCCTACTGTATCTTTCTGGCCCCCTTTGCTCATGGGAGACTGGTGAATGATGGAGGGCAGTGATGTCAGCAGTGGCCAATGGGAAACAGGGAGGTCTAGTGATGACCTAAGGCATATGCCCAGATAGTCAACAGCTGAATCAAGACATGGAATAGCCCTGCTGGCTCCTCTGGACCCCATACAGTCTCCCCAGGAAGTAACCAGTCCGCCCACTACGGTCTGCACTATCAATGCACTCACACACCCAGGGGTCTGGGAGAGTTCCTTGTTCTTTCTGTTATTTCACTGACATTTCTCTTTGTGGGTCCCACCAAGTCTGTGAGTCCATCCCTTTGCTGGGCAGCTGAAGCAGTTTACTTCTCCCTCCACCGTAGAAAGCATGGATTAGTTCCAACTTAATGTTTCGGGTGCCAAAGGCAGCTACAGTCTATAAACATCAGGGTATCTTTCAGAGAAAGCAGGCTGTAGTTCCCAGGGTGGGGGAGTCAGTTAAGTCCCAGTGGATACAGCTGTTTGTTTAACTGTCTTTCCAGGTACTCAGAGCCATTTGATATCCTCTGTGCCAAAGGCCCTGTGCTCATGTATTTTGCCCTTACATAAAACAGGACTTGTGGAGGGGTTAGTAGATATTCGGATGTGGGTTTGTTTGTTTTTTTTTTTTTTAGTGTAGGGGCACACCCAGTGGTGCTCAGGGCTTGCTCCTGGCTCTGCACTCAGGAATCACTCCTGGCAGCTCTCAGGGGACCACATGGGATGCTGGGGATTGAACATGGGTCTGCTGTGTGCAAGGCAAAAACCTTATTCACTGTACTACCACTCCAACCCTGTCATAGTTATTGAAATATTCTGAAAATAGGTCTTGTCAAAAATCACTTGATTTGATTTGCTCTAGTGGGCACCAGTAACGTCTCCATTCATCCCTGTCACGTACTCGTGTGGCCCAATGGCGTCTGCTCGTTCACGAAGAGCCTCAAATCGATCGTTCAGGGTCTTGACAAAGAAGTCTGACCATCTCGTAGGTGGGCAGCCACGCGATCTTTTGACATCCCATGGAATCCAGTCGGTAATAGCTCTAGTCCAGTGGTCGTCTCCAAATCACATTACGTGTCCAGTCCATTTCATTTTCAATGCCTTGGCAAACGAGACAGTGTCCCTGATTCTTGATTGTCGACGGAGGTTGGAATTCCAGGTTCTTTCTCTCACTTGAGTGAAGCGTGAGACTCTAAGCATAGGTCTTTCGATTCCTCTTTGGGAGCACTGAATAGCGTTCTCATCATGTTTTCGTAGGGCCCAGGTCTCTGAGGCGTATGTTAATGCAGGAAGAACAGTGGAATCGAAGAGATGAGCCAGAAGAAGAGAAGAGCCGGAGGTTCTTTGTCCTCTTAGCTATTTCTTTGATGCTCTTAAGGGCATTCCAAGCCGCTCTCTTCCTCCTATGCAACTCAGGTGCCAGGTCATTAGTCATGTTGACTTCTTGACCTAAGAACACGTAACTGTTGCATTCGGAGATGGAGATGTTCATTCCATTGAGAGCGAATGGAACATCAGAAAGGAGACCCTTTCTTATAAACATTGTCTTTGTGAGATTCAGCTGTAGTCCGACCTTTCCACACTCATGGTCGAAGTCAGCCAGCATTTGTGCTGCTTGGCTAAATTAGAACCATATCATCAGCAAAGCAGAGGTGGTGTAGTTGCTGACAGTCTTTCTTCACTCCCATTCCAGTTGTCACATGATGTTTTTGATGGTGGCACTGAAGAGTTTCGGTGAAATGGAAATACCCTTTGCAGTATTTTATTTTCAAAAACACTGCAAAAAATTTTTTTTAATTTTAATTCTAAAAATGTTTTAAAATAGTTTTCAGGGCTGAGAGTACAGCATTGCATGTGTGAGATCCCAAGTTTAATCTGCAAAAAAATGATAATAGATTAAATTAAATATTATATATCTCCTGGTAGTGAATCCGCAATACAGCTCACGGAGGATCTTGATGTATTGGGCTTGAATGCCCTGATTGGCTAGGGCTTCAATGACCGCTTCCGTCTCAACAGAATCAAAGGCCTTCTTTAAATCAATGAACATTAGACAGAGCGGCATCTTGAACTCCCGAGAAACCTCAATGAGCTGGTTATCGTGTGGATATGGTCGATGGTGCTGAATCCTTTGCGGAATCCAACTTGCTCACATGGTTGTCCTTCATCTAGTGTTCTGCCAATCCTATTTAGGATGACTCGAGTGAACAACTTGTAGATGACAGACAATAGGCATATCGGGCGATAGTTGCCAATGTCATGGATGTCTCCCTTCTTGAACAGTAGTACGGTCCTGCTGGTTTTCCATTGGGACGGAACCTTACATTCAGACAGGTAGCGAGTGAAGAGCCGAGCCAGTGTATTGATGAGTACTGACGGCAGGTTCTTCAGGTGTTCAGGATCTCACCATTCTACAAAGAAGTAATCATTGATGTCAAGAGAGGGGTTCGGCAGGGTGATACCATTTCACCAAAACTCTTCAGTGCCACACTTGAGAACATCATGCGACGACTAGAATGGGAAGGAATGGGAGTGAAGATAGGTGGTCGGCAACTACACCACCTCCGCTTTGCTGATGACATTGTTTTAATAACACCAAACATCAGCCAAGTGGCACAAATGCTGGCCGACTTTGACCGTGAGTGTGGAAAGGTAGGACTACAGCTGAATCTTACGAAGACAATGTTCATGAGAAACAGCCTCGTTCCTGATGCCCCATTCGCTCTCAACAGAACGACCATCTCCGAATGCAACAGCTATGTGTACCTAGGTCGAGAAGTCAACATGACAAATGACCTGGCACCTGAGCTGCGCAGGAGGAAGAGAGCGGCTTGGAACGCCTTCAAGAACATCGAAGAAATAGTTAAGAGGACGAAAACCTCTGGCTCCGGGCACATCTCTTTGATTCCCCTGTTCTTCCTGCATTAACATATGCCTCAGAGACCTGGGCCCTACGCAAACAAGTTGAGAACGCTATTCAGGTCTCCCAAAGAAGAATAGAAAGAGCTATGCTTGGAATATCACGTTTCGCTCAAATGAGAGAAAGAATCTGGAGTTCCGACATCCATCGACGATCAAGAATCAGGGACGCTGTCTCGTTTGCCAAGTGTCAAAAATCAGATGGGCTGGTCACGTAATGAGATTTAAAGACGACCGCTGGATTAGAGCTGTTACCGACTGGATTCCATGGGATGTCGAAAGACCGCGTGGCCGCCCACCTACCAGATGGTCAGACTTCTTCATCAAGATCATGAACGATCGGTTTGAGGCTCTTCATGTTCCCAGAGTGAACAGATGCCATTGGGCTACACTGGCACGCGACAGGGACGAATGGAGACGTTACTGGCGCCCGCTCGAGCGAATCGACGACTAACGGGAAGTGATTAAGTGATATATCTCCAACAAAGATATTTCATTCTGAGACTTGCCCTTTTATTGTTTTTCATATGTATTCTGTGATGCTTAGGGGTTACTCTTGGCTCTGTACTCAGGAATCACTCCTGGCAGTGTTCAGGGGACCATACGGGATAACCGGGATTGAACTCTGGTTGGCCACATACAAAGAAAACACACTCCTTGCTGTACTATCTTTCCAGCCCCAGCTTGCCTTTTTTTTTTTTCTCTTAATGACCTCTTTGGAAGCAAAGCACAAATGTTCCAAATTTGGGTAAGACCCAATTTTTTGTTTTGTGATTAGCACTTTTTTCTTGGTTTTTCGGCTACATCTTACAGTGCTCCGGGCTTACTCCTGGCTCTGTGCTCAGGGATCACTCCTACCCATGCTCAGGGGACCCTATGGAGTGCAGGCGATTGAACCCATGTTGGTCAGATGTAACATATGCACTTTAACCACTGTATTATCTGTTGGGCCCTGTGGTCAGAACTTTTTACAGTACCTCTTCAGGAAACTTAGTTTACCCTAACGTTATGAAGACATTCTTCCTGAGCTTTCGTTCAGATGTTTGAACAGTTTGCTTTTAGCTTTTAGGACTCTTGCATCTCCAGTTAATTTGGGAATTGAGGCAAAGGAACCACAACTTTTAATGGAAACCGAAACCTCCTTACCTCAAAGACTCCCCATGGGAATCTTTGGCCACATTGGGTCACCTTCCCCAGGCAAGAGCGACCTGTGTCTCCCATGCACGTCTGACCAAGACCCAGCTTAAACTCCCCCTCCAACACCTTCAGCCTTATTGCGTCTGGCGCCACCACCTCACGGGGCCCACCACCACCACCCCTCTTTAGAACAGAGAGTTCATGTTCCCTTCGGGTTCCACTGCTTCAGTATTACCGTACACTTTGATAGCAGGAGCCCCGGAGAAACTCACAGGAGGTTGTGAGGAGAAAGAATACAGGAGGTCGTGAGGAGAAAGAACGCAGGTTGTGAGGAGAAACAACTAGGAGGCTGTGAGAAGAAAGAACGCAGGAGGTTGTGAGGAGAAAGAACGCAAGAGGTTCCCGGGCAGGGACCTCACGCCTGGCAGACAGGTTAACAGTTCCTGAGTCTCAATTTTCTGAACTGAAAAATGGGAACACGAGGTCCCCTCACACGCACGCGGTCGCGAGACGGGGACACGGGCACGCCTCGACGATGAATGAAAGGCCACGGGGCGGGACCTGACTTCCCCGCTTCTTCCTAGGCGCGTGCGCACTCCGCCCCGCCCCGCAGGCGGCACCCCCGGTGAGGCCTCGCGCGTGCGCACGTGCGACCGGAACCCGGCCCGGGCCCCCGGGGTGAAGGGGCGGGTCATCGGCGGTGCGGCTGCGCGCGCGCGGGCGTGCGTCGGGGGGCGGGGCCGCGCAGGCGCGCAGGGCGCCCCGGCTCCGGCGCATAAACAAGAGCGGGGCCGGGATGAGGCGGCGGTTGCTTCCCGAGCAGCGAGAGGCGGCCTCTGAGGCGGCGAGCGGGGCCCGGCGCCGACCCTGAGCGCTCCCGACCCGCCCCCCGCGCGCGAGCCCACGGCCGGGCCCACCCGCCCGCCCGCCCGCTCGCCCGCCGCCGCGCGCCCACCATGAACCTGGCGAGCCAGAGCGGCGAGGCCGGCGCCGGCCAGCTGCTCTTCGCCAACTTCAACCAGGACAACACGTAAGGCGCGGGCGGGGGTCCCGGGGGTTGAGGGGCGAGGGGCGCCGTCCTCGGACCCTCGAGCCGGGCGGGGTGGTCCTGGGGGGTGGGGGGCTTCGGCCGCGTCGGCCGGGCGGTCTCCTCCGCGAAGTCGCCGCGGAGCCTGAGGGGGTCCGGCCGCCCTCGCTGGCCGGACCCCCTGCGCCCCCCCACCCCCGTCCTCTCCGGCAGGTCGCACCGACGCCCTCCGTGAGCCGGACGGGGTCCGGTCCAGGCCTGCCCAGTTCTCCAGGGGGAAACTGAGTCCCCGGCACAGGTGCCGGGGCCGGGGGCTCCGAGTGTGCCCCCTTCCCCCGGAAGGAGAGAAGCCCCCGTTGGCTTGCTCAGGAGGGCCCGGGTCTCCCGCGTGCCCTGGGCTCCCGAGATCGCCCGTCCGAGAGAGTGGGCTGCGGGGCCGGAGCGCCCAGAGCCATCTTGGGAAGTGAGGAAGAGGAAGAGGAAGTGATGTCAGCGGGGAGGAGTGAGTGGGGAAGGCGGGCGGCTGGGGGGCTCCCCGGGATCCGAGACTTGGCGGGAGCGACCTCCCCTCAGGCTCCTGATGAGGAAACGCGGGTTCAGGAGGGGTCAGTGGTTGCCCAACAGGTGCAGGGCAGCGGTCAGAGTGCAGCCGAGGGTGCCCCTGGGGTGTCTAGGAATCATGCCGCAGTGCTCAGGGAAGCGTGACACAGGCTTGGGGTGCAGGTGGAGCACAGCGCCCCTGAGGCCCCGTGCGCAACCTGTTGGCAGATGACACGGACTCTCTGCGACTGTGTGCGTGCCCCAAAGCCTCAGTCTTCTGAGACCCCGTGGGGAACAGGCAGCTCTGCCCGGCCTGGTGTGTTGGTCTCTTTTTCTCTCTCATGTCCCCGCTCAGTTAAAAGCTCTCTGGAGCACTTCCTCCCGTAATCCCTAAGTGACTGCAAAAGGGCAAGCTGACTCTGGCCACTGTGTCACACACTTCAGGGTCCCCCCTCACGGGACAGGGTGGCCCTGGCCTCAGAAAGCCCCAGTCCCGACTTCTTGGAAATCATTTGCACCCTGTTCTTTGGAGAGTCCTAGGGTAGTTGGCTCAAGGAAACTTTCAGAGCCGTTGGGACTTGCTCAAGTGGAGGTTGTGTCAAGTGCTCTCATCTAGGACCCATGAGGGTGGCACCTTCGCAGCTGTTGGCTGTTTGCACTTGGAAGGGGCCATATGGTCAGTGCTCTTCCCTTGCCCGTCTCTGGGCTTGGGACACAGGTTTTCAGTGGGCACCAGCTGGGCGAGGGTCCGCATTCCCAGCATTCAGCGAGCAGATCTGGACAGCACCAGGGCCTTCATGGTTCTTGGCTCTTGATGGGACGTGGAGTGTGGTGGGGCTTTTACCGTCCTGACCATGTATGTGTTTTTGCCCATTTATTTCCAGTGTGTGCTTTATAACTGCAGCAGTGAAAGAGGCCCTGGGAACCACTAATCTTGCTTTTGGCTGGCTGGTGCCGGCTCCCATCGGCATGGCAGAGACTTCCCGGGAAGGTTTGCTCTGCAGACTCTGGGCCTTTGAGCTGGACAGCACAGACTACTCAGTGGCAGGTGCCCTTCGCGCTCGGGCAGCCCATGTTTTAAACTGTGTTTCTGGAAGGGATGGCCTAGAGAGGGGAGCTTGAAGGGCCAATGTGTCAGGGCCTCAGGCCCTGGGGAATGGACAGAGGAGGGCTCCGCGCCCCCAGACTTCTGTTCCAGGAGGCGGGGAGAACGGTATTACAGGGTTACAACCTTAACTGTTTAGCATTTCCCAAAGTGGAGGTGCTGGGCTGATACAGGGGGTGGCAGGTGCTTCGACACAGTGAGGGACGCCTTCTGTTTGTTCACTGAAGGAAAGTAGGGTTCCCAGGGTGCTGAGTGCGTCTGTGGAAAGGGCAGTAGCCAGGTGGAGTCGGCCCACTGGTGGAACTGCTCCTGCCTGCGTGGAGGAGGCGGGACAGTGTCATTCTACTCAACCTGTGACCCATGAGACAAACATGATACATGGAATCCTGGAGAGGTTTCATGTATCCCCAGGCTCCAGCTTGCCGAGAAGCAGTTGAGGGTCTGGTGTAGGAGGACTACTCTGGGTCCCCCTGAGTTTGAAAGAAAGGCCTTCAGGGTAGAGACGAGCAGAGGGAGACAGTTCAGGTTGCTTCCTGTTGGCGGTGGTAGTGGGGACCATTCCACTCAACCCTGTAGTCAGGTGGCTCTTTGGTAAGGAAGGGGACGAGGAAAGAGGGTGGAGAAAGAAAATGTGAAAGAAAGATCTGATACATGTTTGCTTTCTTTTTTTTTCTTCTGATTTTTGGCCACATCCAGCCATGCTCAGGGCTGACTCCTGCTTTGTGTTCAGAGATTACTGCTGGCAGGGCTTGGGGGACCATATGTGGTGACGGGATTTGAACCTGGTCAATTCATATTTTTGTTTTCGTTGTACTCACATTCTATTAGATATTGAACGTCCAAGTTTAAATTTTGTGACAAAGTCAATCAAAGATGGGCGCAAGCATGGGTATTTAATTTGGCTTCATCCCAAACTCCTTATTCAAATGTCACTCATCAGTGTACTGGAGATACTTTAAAGGTTGTGAATCTGTAGAGTGGGAGAATGAGGAGGCACATGCAGTCACATGAATCTGGAAGCTGCTTCCATCACTCTCTGCCCTGCCGAGGGCACAGCCAGGTGGCTGGGTTTGCTGCCAGGCCCAGTAGAAGGCAGGGGAGGAGCATTCAACCCTGCCTTTGTTAGGGAGTGCAAGCTCTTCCCTTTAACAAGTGGCACCGTGTTACCTTACAAAAGGTACGGCAGGTACATGGCCGACTTGGGTCTGTTCTCCCAGCGCCACCAGGAGTGAGCCCTGAGCACGAGCGGGTGTGGCTCCAAATCAAACAAACAAAAAATTCCAGCATGAACTACATGGACTGAGTCATTCCCTTAAAGGGGGCTCTCACTCCCCTGTACCTCTGTGCTCCCTAGTCCCTGTGGTGTTATGTCCCGGGAATCTTGGGCGGGTGGTGGAAGCAGAGCCTCTGAGGAGTGTGAACTAACCTTTAGCTTTCAGCATGGAAATATTAAACTTATTTGTATTTATTCCTCTAAAAATATCTCAGGTCGGAGAATTCAAAGGGCTGGGCGTGCATGTGGGAGACCAGGTTTCATTCTGAGGCTCTGCGGGTTCCCCAGGTACCCCAGGAGTGACCCAACCCCTCCGCACCATTGGACGTGGCCACAAAACAGAACAAGAGCGCCCTCCCCACCCCACCCCACCCCCCAGTCGTTAAATCATGCTCCTGTGGTCTGGAGAGCTGCATCCATGTTTCCATTTCTTAGACCTGCCTGCACTCTCAGTCTGGCAGTGCTCCTAACTCCAACGTGCTGCTGTGTTTGCTGTCCCACACCTGTCTGGGACTGCCTCCGAGGACGTCCTTGGTCCGCAGTGTCCAGGTTGGGGGCACAGGATGAGTCTGGTGCTATCCAGGCTGAGTGCTCACAGTCCCTGAGGGCAGGTGAACCTGTGCTTCATCCTTTGGAAGAAGCCCTCTCAGAGCTCTTAAAATACTGACAAGCTTTGGGATTTGGTTTCCAAGTCACCAAGAAATGAGTGGGGAGAGGCTGTGCCTGGAGGCCGGGTGGCTCTAAGGACAAGCCACAGCCATGGGCGCTGCGACTCCCACAGCCCAGCCCTCCCCCACTACCGCTCACTTCGTGGGGGGTTTTCATAAGTGACAAGCCCAGGAAAATGGCCAGAGTGAGGAGGATGGTTTGTTGTTGTTGTTTTCCAGTCTGAAATAGTGGGGCGTGGGGGGAGGGGTGTTTAACATACCAGCCTGAGTTATCTGGAAAACTCCTGAACATCAGTTTCCTAAGAGCATGGGTGGTTGAAGTTTTGTTTCATATATTAGCCTTACCTAAGACAATTTTTTGGCCACTTTTCAGAAGTGATATATTATCTCATTCATAGAACTAATTTAGTGGTGTGAATGATTTTGCGAAAATAGGAGTTTTGTTTTTGTTTGTACTTCTAAGGTAACCCCATTACTATCAAAAATTTTAGATGCTTGGAGCCGGAGAGATAGTAGACCAAGTAGGGCGCTTGTCTTGTAGATGGCTGATCCAGGTTCAGTCCCCAGCATCCCATATGATCCCCTGAGTAGCTCCTGAGTATTGCTGGGTGTGTCCCCAAAATCCCCCCCAAAAAAAATTCAGAGGCTAGAGAGACATTATAGCGGACAGAGTCCTTGTCTTGCATGCCCTTGTCTCCTGGGTTTGATCTCTGGCACTCGAAGCCTGCTCAGGACTTACTCCTGGGTCTGCACTCGGGAATTAACTCCTGGCAAGGCTCAGGGAACGATATGGAGTAACCGGGGATCGAACTGGGTTTGTCACATGCAAGACAAATGTCTTACCCAATCTACTATTGCTCTGACCCCTAAAATAAATTATGGTGCTCAGAGCAGCTCTGTTCTCAGAACATATTTCTTCAGCCTGTCTGCGTGGAAAAAGACTTAGCATTCCCATGTTTGAGCTGACAGTCACAGACCCTGTCCTCCTTCATTCCGTGTGCCAGCCTACTGCATGGAATGCCTCTTACTGAGGCCCTGGTTTCGCTCCTGTCTCTGCTTGCTCTGTAGTCTCCCAGAGTCTCAGTACAGACAGGACCTCAGTGTCTGTGCTCCTCCCCTCAACACTGTAGACAGGACCCCACCATCCTAGCCCCCCAACACTGCAGACAGAACCTCACCGTTCGAACCCCTGACAGTGTAGACAGCCTTTCGTCTTAGTCCTCCCCACCCCCTGAGCCCTCAGATACTTGGAATAGACAACCCCACTGTCCGAATCCCCCTCACACTCTGCAGACTAGACCCCACTGTCCGAGACCCTGACACTGCATACAAGACGAGCCCCCCAACACTTTGCAGATAGGACCCTCCATTATAGCTCCCCGACACTCAAGTAGTGAAGGGAAGCCCTATGATGACACTACCCCTTGTCTCCTGTCCCACTGTCCTCTTGTGGTGAGCTTTGAGGTCCCTCCTACATCAGGGTTCAGGGATGAGTGTGGACTGGGCCCAGGAGATCCTCGGCCTGGAGCCTCAGCTGCTTCCTTTTCGGCCCAGTGCCCAGGTTCTGAGCCAACTCTGGAGTTGCCATGAGGAGTCAGACTCCGTCCGTCCAAGCCCTTGGGCAGATACTGCCAAATGCCACCCTGCCCCAACTGGCCGAGTCTTGCTTCCAAGTTCAGGGTGCTCACTTCCTCTAGAGCACTCACCTGTCCCTTGGATCACGTCACCTACAAAGCCCTGGTTGGATGTCCAGGGATCATTCGTTTCAGAGCTGATTGCTTTCATTCATTGCTAGCGTAAAGGAAGAATGAATGCTGTTATAGATTTTACTGCCCAGCCCTTTCCCAGATTCCGAGGGGTGCCATGTTCCTTGTCCTCGGCCACTCGCCCACTTCCCTGGTGGTATTTGCTAGTGTTGGAGACGTGACCGCTCTGGTAACTGGAGCTATTTTGTACGTGTTCACTGTCTGCGCGTCTCAGCTCTCACTCTGAATTTGGCTTTTTTGCAGGTCCCTAGCTGTTGGTAGTAAGTCCGGTTATAAATTTTTCTCCCTTTCTTCTGTGGATAAGCTGGAACAGATCTATGAATGCAGTAAGTGTTTGCTTTATTTTTCCCCCTTCTTAAATAGACAACTATATACTTGCCTTGGAATGTGTCCTGGCTATCACCTGGAGCCCCTGAGCAGAGCTGGCCTCCCTCAGTCTGACCACGAGATGTCAGCATTGGACCCTTGGGCCTAGTTTCCCACCTGCCCAGACACATCCCCAGAAACTGTGGGCTTTCCCTTGCAGACCTTTCATTAGCCTGTCTGTGGGATTCTCTGATAATGTCATTTGACCTCTGAGTTTTGGTCACAAAGGGCTTTCCCAAAAGTGCAGAGTGTTCTGAGAGTGGTTCATTGTCTTGGGTGTGGGCCTAGCCCTTGGAGGTGCCACAGCAGGTGCCCTGAACGCACAAGAGCCCCTGCCCGTCAGCCGCGTGGATCTCAGCAGCCTATGGGGGACCTCGCCTGCCAGCAGGCACGGAAACACCCTCTGCCCCCTGACTCTTGAGCATGCCTGTGACGTTGACCTCAGTCTGTGTTTCCTATGTGGAATCTGACATACTTGTGAGTGTAGAACAGGATTAAGAGACCCTCCCCCACCAAGAACATGCTGGAAGTGTGGACTCCTCCCCGTAGGTTCTGTCTGGCTAGAGTTCTGAAGCTCCAGTGGGCTGCCAGTCCCTTCCGGCAGCAGTGGGCCAGCCTCCGCCCACTCCCATCTCTGATCTCCGTGTCCAGTATGTTCTCCAGTGTGAAGATTGTGTCATTTCCAAAATGTCACCTAGATGGCAGAATAGCAATCGTCTGGTGGGCCTAGACAGCCCTTTTTCCCCACACAGCAGTACCTGGGCATGCGATTGGTATGGATGTTGGTCTCAGATTTGTCCTGTTATTGCTGAGTCGAGGCCCTCCTGGGAGTGACCCATTCAGTCTGTGGAAGGACATCTGGGTGGGCCACAGTTACGGCTCTTTCCCACCGAACTGCTCTGAGCCTCTATGGCCAGAAGTCCTTAGGAACGAATGTCTGATCTTTCCATGGAAGTCTCCTCGTGGATCTGCCCATTTTCTAATTGGATTTTCTCCTTCACTGTTGCATATGTCCATGTTCCACTCTGGAGGATGCCAGGCGGGGCTGTGAGTCGCCTCTGTACCCCTCGGCCTGGAGCTCATGTTCCAGCGTACTTCTGTGACCAGTCACCTGGGGACATGGGTCCGGGGAGGCTTTGGGCCCATCCTCTCCATTGTCACCATAAGCATATTTGGGGGGACTGGGCTTTTCCAGTGCTGTGTCTCCTCCTGAGGGTCGGCCATTTCCCTGTGTGGCTCTGTCGCCCTTCAGAACCGGCGTTTGAGCAGAGAGAGGTGGATGAGGTGGATGAGCTGTGTCAGGTTAGGCGGGACACAGTGGCAGTCAGACAGGCCAGGTCTGCTTCCAAGTGTGCATGCCTGCCTCCCTTGCCTGCCTTCAGTGTCCTCAGGCTTGCTCTTGGCTCCCCTGCAGCCTCTGGGCTCTAACTGGTTCCTGCTGGAAGGTGAGGTCTGAATGGTGAACAAAGCAGGGTGGGGCATAAAACTCCCCAGATCAGCCGCATTGGCTGATCAACACTGGCCCTCAGGAGTGTTCTCCATAGGCAGGGGGCCCATCACGACCTCTGGATGACAGATGTTGGTCGTGGGTCTGCACACACAGTTCCGGAATCTTACTTTGAATTGCTGCCAGGATCATCCTGTTTGGGGACCAGTGATTAGGAAGGTGTGCGACACCCTGAACCCGCAGACCCAGCCTTACTCTAATTGGATGAGTCTAGTTGGTGCCACACCTGGCAGATCCGGAAGGACCATGTGCTGCACACTGCTTCTTGGGCCCTGCTGGGGTGGGCGCAGGGACTCTCCCCTGGCACCTGCTGCCTCATCTTCCACGGGTTTCTATGAGAATAAAACGGGTTGTCTCAATGGCATCTGCAAGAGTGACTCCCCTGGATACTGGTATCGATTGTTCTGGTTAGTGAACTTCCGACCCTTCAAAGTGGTTGGTGAAGGCCGAGAGAGAGCACAGTGGGGAAATCCGGTCCCATCTCTGGCACCTGCTGTGGTGCCCCAAGCACTTCCAGGAGTGATTTCTGATCCCAGAGCCAGGGATGAGTCCTGAGCACCACTGGGTGTAACCCCAGAACCAGAACAGATGATGAGATGCCCGGTTGGCCGAGCATTCGCCGTGCCTGTGAGGGGCCCTGAGCTCCGTCCCCTCACCCTGCTGTGCTACCCAGCACTGCCAGTATGGCCCTTTTGAAAACATGATGAAATGCATAAAGAGCTTCTGGAGGGTTGATGGTTTATAAACTGAAGCTAGTAAATCTTGTGGCCCCCGGAGCTTGCTTCCTCTTCCATGGCCTTTATTGAACAGATGAAAGCATGTCTGACAAGGCAGCTCTAAAGCGAGATTGCTTTCCAGTGGCTCAGAGCAAAGATTATCTGACCAGTGCCCTGTCCAACCTCGTCATTGACTCAGACCCTCGTCAGGCAGAAAATCAGACCTTCGCTCTCAGTCTGTTACAGAAAGAACAAGCCCATTTGTGTTAGGTAAAACAAGATTGACAGCTCCTTGGTTTTGTTGTTCAAGCCAAGAAACCTGTGACTGGTGTCTGAAAGCTTTTTTGTTAGGTGGTTTTCTTTTGTTTTTTTTTTTTTCTTGTTTTTGTTGTTGTTGTTGTTAAACTCATTTTTAAACCATAGCAAGTCATGAGAACCCCAGATGCTTTGTGCCCACCACACTGAGCCCATAGAGTCTTCCTGCCCCTTCTCCCTGTGTTAGTACATGTGTTAGTAGATGCCTCAGAGCCCACCTGAGCATCAGGACACAGGGTATAGTTTTATCATTTGTAAATGTGCACAAGAGGTTAGATGGAGGGGCTGGAGTAATAGCACAGTGGGTAAGGCGTTTGCCTTGCACACGGCCAACCCGAATTCAATTCCCAGCATCCCATATGGTCCCCTAAGCACTACTAGGAGTAATTCCTGAGTGCAGAGCCAGGAGTAACCCTTTGCATCGCCGGGTGTGACCCAAAAAGCAAAAAAAAAAAAAAAAAAAAGAGGTTAGATAGAAACGTCCGATTCCTCAGATCCTGCATTGTGTGTTTGCTTGTTGGGGTCTTGAGTCAGGCAGAGATCGTTGTCATACTTCCCCCTCTAAGAGTGCCTCAGCTGCTCCTAAGCTCAGCACATGTGGTTGGGCCTGTGTGGATCCCAAAACTCATGTCTGGTGCCCCTCGTCCTGCAGACATATCTGTGTGCGGCACTTGGACTCTGACGTGGAGATGTTGCCTTGCAGCCTGGGCCAGCCGGTAGGAGGCCAACAGTATCTTCTCTGTCTAATTGACAGAGTTCAGGCAGCGAAGTTCAGACAGGCAGCCACTGGGAGAGTTTGGCACAGAGTGGCCGAGATCCCTTGTACTGAGCTCTCCAAGTAAGGCCTGAGGCCCTAGGGCTCATGTCCAGACCCCCTCATCTCCCGCCCCAGCTCAGCACTGGCCCTGCAGTCCCTGTGGCTGGCTGTCGGACACTGGCAGATGCAATATGCGCGGGGCCATGGTGCTTCGTAATGCATCTGAGTCAGTGCCATCACCCGCAGGAGGGCCAAGTATCCATGGGTGGGAATTGGCTGCTCTCTGGGTGGGCTCTGTTTTCATTTGTGTTTAGAAGTCCCCTGGGGGGTGAGGAATGATGAAATAATGTGACAGAGTTCGTGAAAGAGCCCAGTAGAAATAGGAACCACAGCCATAGGATAGCAAGGAGGGTGCTTGCCTTGCATGTGGCATACTTGGACTCGATCCCTGGCACCCCATAGGGTCCCCTGAGCATCACCAGGGGTGATTCCTGGGTGCAGAGCCAGGGGTTAGCCCTGAACCCCCATCAAATGTGGCCCACAACTGAAGAAAAGGAAAAAAGGGGGGGTTGGAGTAATAGTACAGCGGGTGGGGTGTTTGCCTTGCACTTGGCCAACCCAGGTTCTAATCCCAGCATCCTATATCATATGGTCCCTCAAGCACCACCAGGAGTGATTCCTTAGTGCAGAGCCAGGAGTCAGCCCTGAGCATCACCAGGTGTGACCAAAAAAAACAAAAAGCAAAAAAAGAAAAAGTTGGGGCTGGAGCAATAGCACAGCTGGTAGGGCGTTTGCCTTGCACGCAGCTGAGCCGGGTTCGATTCCCAGCATCCCATATGGTCCCCCGAGTACTGCCAGGAGTGATTCCTGAGTGCAAAAGCCGGGAGTAACCCCTGAGCATTGTCGGGTGTGACCCAAAAAGCAAAAAAAAAAAAAAAAATTTGATCTAAACCCCCAACAGTGGTATGTAAAAGTTGGGGGCTTGAAATCAGTTCTTGGGATGGCCCAGAAATCTGAATGTCCTTTGGTGAGCCCAGAGCGGCTGCTGCAAGCCCCCAGACAATCCCAGACCTAGCCCACCTGCCCGCGGCTGTTCTGCCCTCTGCTGAACCACATCCCAGCCCAGGGCTGTAGCTTGTCTGCCCCACACCTCTCGGGTGCAGTGGGCAACAGCACATTCAGCCCTGCAGCTTGCCCTAATCTCGTTTCCAGTCTTATCGCCCCCCAGAACCCCAGAGCTCACGAGCAGTCACCCCTCCTTCCCCCGCCTCAGCCCTGGGCACTGCAGATAACTGGGCCTGGGGCTGCTCTCCCTGGACATGTGACCCCAGCCTCTCAGACACGGGGTGATTTTGAAATGAATTTGTTGATGATGTTACCAGTAAACGTTTTATTTGTAAAACAGGCGTCATGTATGTATACTCAGGGTTCAGTGCAGGGGGGATTCTCGGGCCAGCAGGGCTGTGAGTGGGGATGTTGCTTGTCTCGTTTGTAGAAGTTTGCATGATTCATACATGGCTCTTGTAGCTGGGTTGCGGGTGGCATCTGAGGAGGGTCTGCTGCTAGGTAAAGGTAAAGGTAAAAGGTAAAGGCCCTCCCGTTGATCGTCGATTTGCTCGAGCGGGCCCAGTAACGTCTCCATTGGAGACTTTTGTTGTTACTGTGTCTGGCATATCGAATACTCTCGGCAGCTTGCCGGGCTCTCCGAGAGGGGCGGAGGAATCGAACTCGGGTCGGCCATGTTGGCTGTGTGCAAGGCAAATGCCCTACCGCTGTGCTATTGCACGCAGCCAACATGGCCGACCCGAGTTCGATTCCTCCGCCCCTCTCGGAGAGCCCGGCAAGCTGCCGAGAGTATTCGATATGCCAGACACAGTAACAACAAAAGTCTCCAATGGAGACGTTACTGGGCCCGCTCGAGCTGCTGCTAGGTGACCATCTTTATTTTGTTCCCGGTGGTACCAACTGTAAGATAGATTCTGAGGGTCGGGAATATAGTAAATGGAGAAACATTTTAGAGGGGGCCGGGGAGATAGTACAGTGGGTAGGGTGCTTACCTTGCACACGGCCAGCTCGGTACCCTATGTGGTCTCCTAAGCCTGCCAGCAGTGATTTCCTGAGTGTAGAGTCAGGAGTTAACCCTCTGCGCTGCTAGATGTGACCCAAACTACCCCTCATTTTTTAAAAAAATAAATGTACCAATTTAGGATTTCTCTTTTCTATTACTATGGGAGTTCCCGGAATTTCAGTATCACAGATCTGAGATTATCACAGCATCTGTGCTCCTGTCTTTCCCAGCACTCCTTAGATCCTCTTTTTCTTCTGGCAGTCTTCCTTTGCCTGCTTTTCTCTTGGCTATTTATTTCATCCTTTAATGATTTAAAATGAAGAAGCATTTTGCTGTGAGCTGTAGATGCCTGTGCTGTGGGGTGTCTGCTGTGGGCTATAGATGTCTCTCATCGGCTGTCACTGTGGACTGTAGATGCCTGTCTGTCAGGTGTCTGCTGTGGGCTGTAGATGCCTGTGCTATTGGGTTTCTGCTGTGGACTGTAGATGCCTGTCAGCTGTCCGCTGTGCACTGTAGATTCCTATCCTGTAGGGTGTCTGCTGCTTTGTTTTGTCTTGGAATTACTTCAGCGATGCTCAGGACCATGTGGTACCGGGTTAGCCCGGCTGTGCACACTCCTCGTGCTGCAGCCCACATGTGAGAGGTTGGGACATGGGCTCAGCACATGCAGGGCCCACACCCACATGATGGTCACTGACTTGACCTCTGCATAACCCATTTGTCAACCTGTGCCTGTCCCTGTGGATAAAATGCCCTCATCCTTCTGTATGATTTCAGGGATTAAGAATAAAGTGTAGGGACTGGAGCTATGATAGCACAGCGGGTAGGGCGTTTGTCTTGCACACGGCCAACCTGGGTTTGACTCCCAGCATCCTATATGGTCCCCCAAGCACTGCCAGGAATAATTCCTGAGTGCAGAGCCAGGAGTAAACCCTGTGCATTGCTGGATGTGGCCCAAAAAGTAATAAATAAAACTTAAAAATAAAGTGTAGAGGGGCTAAAGCAATAGTACAGCAGGGAAGGTGCTTGCCTTGCACGCAGCTGTCCTGGACTCGATCCCCAGTATCCCATATGGTCCCCTGAGCACCACTTGGGTAATTTCTGAGTATAGAACATGGAGTACCGCTGGGTATGGCCCCCCAAGTTTAAAATAAACAATAATAAAAATAAAGTGTAGCAACTAGGCGGAGTGCCAAATACAGAACATGGATTATGAGATTCTTCACACTGTGTTTGGAAAGGACATTGTTCATCGCGGATCTCTCTTCATCAAGATCTCTTAGTGGGCACAGACAGGTTCCTGTGGGTGTACCCTGCCCTGCGCCTAACTCCCCACCCCTCACAAGAAGGCAGGACTGCTGGAGTGGGAGCAGATCTGACCCTCACCCTGCCTTGAGAAGGGCGGGCTTGCGGGGTGGGAGGCCCTGCTGCCACGGGGATGTCCCTTCTGGGTACAGAGCTGCAGAGGCCACAGCAGGACATCAGGATTTTCTGTTGCAAAGAGTTTCCAGGCCAGAACCCTTCTCCACTTGGCGTCCCTGTCACTGGTCAGGTACCTGCAGGGCACCTGGCCGGCATTGTTGGCGGCTTCTCCTGCTTCCCAGAGCCTGTTTGCTGTAGGCCAAGTCAGTGAGGCAGGTAGTGAGAGCCTGCGCATGGGCCTGTGTTTATTCTCTTCTGTGCAAGGTGCTGGAGACACAGTAGTAATCCAGACTTCTGGGTGGGATCCCTCCCAGGGAGGGGTAGGGGGTAACTGGTATGGGAGCTGGGCTCTGGGCTGACCTCTGGGGAGAGGGCAGGGGTATTTGTGGCAGGGAGTCCCTGGGACTGGTTTACATGGAGAACTCGCCCTGTGCATCACCACACTTTCCAGCTGCCTGGGAACCCCCACGGCTGCACGTACGCGGCGGCCCAGCTCCATGCCCATGCATCTGTCTTGCTTGCAGCTGACACTGAGGACGTGTGCATTGTGGAAAGGCTGTTCTCCAGCAGCCTTGTGGCCATTGTCAGCCTCAAGGCCCCTAGGAAGCTCAAAGTCTGCCACTTCAAGAAGGGCACCGAGATCTGCAACTACAGTTATTCCAATACCATCCTGGCCGTGAAGCTCAACCGCCAGGTGAGGCCCGGCTCCCGACACTGCTCCCCAGAGTGGGCTGATCTCTGCTGGACAGCTGAGTGTCCCTCGTCCTGGGCCAGAGTCCATCTGCCCCGCCTTTCTCTCCTGTGTGGGCACCTTCTCAGCCACTCTCCCCTTTCCAGACTGCTTCCGCAGAACCCGCCTTGAAGATGAGGCATTCCCCACATTGTCTGAACCTTACCCCAGACACCCAGGAGGTCCTGGGCACCCCACATGGGACGTGGGGGTGGGCACGTGCATTTATCAGGCCTGGGCTCCTGCACACCTGCAGAGTTCGGGCCTGGGACCCAGCGACTGCCCCCTGGCCTGGAGGGGCTAGAGCTGGAAATAGTCCTTTTTCCCAGAAAACGTGGTTGGAATGGGAATGAAGAGGCATACTGTCATTGTGCCCTTTTTATTTTTTTTTCTCAATTTTTTTGGTTTTATACCACACCTGGAGGTGCTCAGGGCTTCCTCCTGGCTCTGCTCAGGAACTGCTCTTGGTGGTGCCTAGGGATTCAGCCCAGATCGGCCATGTGTGAAATAGGGGTCCTGCCCTCTGTGTTATAACTGGCTGTTGGCATGGCGTGTTTTTTTTTTTTTTTAACTTAAAACACATATATGAAACCAGGCAAGGCCACTGTGGATATGGTCCTGCTCAGGGGCCCGCTGGAGATGCTGGCCAGGTGCCTGTGGACTTTGACCAGGGGATGACTGACCCCAGAAGAGCAGGGTCTGTGACCCCAGGTGCTATGCCAGCCACACTGCCCCTTGCTCTGCCTGACTCAGGCACCCCTGAGGGGCCGAGAGTAAAGCGGACATAGAGCCCCTGGGAACCACACTTGCCTTCTAGAAGGCTCAGTTCCCTCAGATACCAGCAGGAGGCGCTCAGGAAGCGTCTGCTCCCAGCCAGCTGCCCGAGGGGCCAGGCTTCTGTGTGGTCACCACTTCCTGCCTGGCGCTTGTCCCCTCCCAGAGGCTGATTGTGTGCCTGGAAGAGTCTCTGTACATCCACAATATCCGGGACATGAAGGTGCTGCACACCATCAGGGAGACGCCCCCGAACCCTGCGGGTGAGCCCCCGTTCTGCTCCCATGTCCCACAGCGCTGCCCCGTGAGCAGGCAGAAGGGGCTCTGGTCTCCACCCCCGAGCTGGCGGCGGGAGGGCAGGTCTCTCCCATAGTGTGGAGATGGGTGCAGGACTGCGGTGCCGAGCCAGAGGAGGACCTGCCGCTGAGGGCCCGCCTGTCCCCGCAGGCCTGTGCGCGCTTTCCATCAGCAACGACAACTGCTACCTGGCCTACCCGGGCAGCGCCACCATCGGGGAGGTGCAAGTCTTCGACACTATCAACCTGGTGAGTTCTCGGGCCGGCCCTACCCCCAGCTCCTCACTTCGTCCCACCAGGGCTGATGCAGGAGGCAGGGTGGATGGTGGCCATGATTCTCTGAGCGACCTTTCTGGGGGCACAAGGAGTCCTTGTCCAATACACAGCCTGTCCCCGCCCTCTACAGAGAGCCGCCAACATGATCCCAGCACACGACAGCCCGCTGGCAGCGCTGGCCTTCGACGCGAGCGGGGCGAAGCTCGCCACTGCCTCTGAGAAGGTGGGTGCACCACAGTCGGTGGGAGGGGCAGGGCTTCTTGCTTTCCTGTCATGCTGTCCTCCTATGCGGGGGGTCTGGGACTTGGCGCAGCAGGTCAGTGTCTCCCTTTCACCCTTTTGAGAGCTTCATTTACCCTGTGCCTGGTATTCAGTAATATTCTACAGCAAGAAAGTTGAGCAAGCCCGCCGAGCCCCGTCCCCGCCAAGCCCCATTCATTCGAGCCTCGTCTCTGCTTACAGGGGTGGCCTTGGCCTCCCAGTGTCCTGCAGGAAGCTGTGAGAAACAGCAGGTTACATGTGTGGCTACATGGTGTTGCCCTACCTCTCAGAGTCCAAAGTGCTGCTGGCTGCAGGGCTGCTGGCCACTGGCTGCTGGCTGACTGACCCACCCAAGCTCAGGCTGCAGTCTGCGTGCCCGCGGTGCTGTCTGGGCCGGGATGTCTCCCCCTCCGGCCGGAGATACCGTCTCAGGGCAGCACTTGGGCATGGCCCTTCCTGCAGACTTCTGAGCTCTGCTCAGTGCTGGGTCCCTGGCAGCCTGCGAACTCCTAGGATTCCAGAGCAGCTGCCGGCCGCAGCACCCACATATGACCAGAGCCCTTTGTCTCCTTTCTCGGCCCTGCTCTGGTCCCCAGATAGGCTGCCGGTACCAAGGGAGACAGGCGGTGTCACCTCCTCATGGGGGTTCCGGCTCAGATTTGGAGTGTGCAAGCACCCTGTCACACTGCCTGCCACCAGTGTCGCGCGTCTCCCGGAAGCTGCCTCATGTCTGTGCATATCTGTCGGATGCTCCTCCACTTGGCTGAAACCTTCCTTTCCTCTCTGTCTTGTCACAGGGGACTGTGATCCGGGTATTTTCCATTCCAGAGGGACAGAAACTCTTTGAATTCCGGAGAGGAGTCAAGAGGTAAGGCGTGCCGTCTCCGAGATGGACTCTGACTTCTATTGAGGTCTTGCTGCCAGTGACCCAGCATGTCCTTGCCACCACGGCCCACCAGGACTCTGGGTGGCGGAGGATAGACATGGCCATGAAACAGATGCAGGGGGCCCCTCCCCCCCAGCCCTTCCCCCTTCACAGCACCCCATAGGGGACCCAGAGAACACGGCCAGGGCCTCCCGCTGAGTGCCGGTCACGGCGGCCCTGTCCACGCTGGGCTCTGCCCCCTCCCTCAGTGATTCTGGGACCAGTGTGACTCTAGGGTGTCTCCCTCTGCCCAGCTCAGATGGGCACTTGCTCCTGGGCCTGTCTGCAGGCCAGGCACCAGCCCTTTCCTGCCAGCTCATCTTTCCAGAATGTTCTTCTGTCATCTCTGCTCCGTGTCCTCCCGCCCTGCTGTGTCCAACCCCAGCACTCCTCATGGAGAAGGGTCCATTCTCTGCTGCCCCCGCCTCTGGAGCGCAGGGGCTAGTGGTGGGACACCCCCACACCTGTCCACACTCACCCGCTTAGCCCCCGGTACATTGTTGCCCCAGAATCCCTCCCTCCCTCTCTCTCTCTGGCCTGTTGGGCCACCCAGGAGGCGATAGCCCGTGCCCTCTACCCACCCGCTCACCCTGGTCTCTCCTCTTGCCTGGAGGCCATCTCTGCCATGCATGTGGGGCTCTCTGGGCTGCCCTTGCTCAGCCAGTTGTCTGTCCTGGGGCCTGGGCAAAGCCTGCCTGCCACCCCCCATACCCCCTCTACTCCCTGCTCCCAGGGAGCCCCGACCTGGGAGTCAGGCTGGGGCCTCGAGTCACATGGGAAGCACCGCACAGGGCGCAGCAGAGCCCACCCACCGGGACGTCTGGCATATGGCTGTGCCCAGGTGTGCCCCAGGTTCTCTGGGTATAACCTGTCGTGCCCCCCAGGTGCGTGAGCATCTGCTCGCTGGCCTTCAGCATGGACGGTGTGTTCCTGTCAGCATCCAGTAACACGGAGACCGTGCACATCTTCAAGCTCGAGACTGTGAAGGAGAAGTAAGTACCAGCGAGTCGAGGGAGAGCATCCCTGGGGTCACCTGCCTACCTGTCGGGGGCGGGGGGGCTGGGGCAGTCCGGCTCTCCTTAATGTCAGAGCAGAAGGGTTCTCTCAGATGACTTGGGACTCTGGGGCACAGCGGCGCAGAAGCAGGACCTGCTGGCCCGTCCACACTGACCAAAGCACAGACTTTGTCCAGAGCCTCGGGCACCCTTGGGCTGTTATTTCTGCAGCCTGTTTCCTGAAGCCAGGGAGTGTCCTTCTGGGTGCCACACCTGATGCCATCAGTCCCCCCAGGCCTCAGGAGGAGCCCAGCACCTGGACCGGCTACATTGGGAAGGTGCTCATGGCCTCCACCAGCTACCTGCCTGCCCAGGTCACTGAGATGTTCACCCAGGGCCGCGCCTTTGCTACCGTTCGCCTGCCTTTCTGCGGCCACAAGAATATCTGCTCGCTGGCCACGTGAGTCTGCCCCTCCCTGCCGACTGGCCCAGCCCCACAGCGTCATCTTATTCCAGTTTTAGTTCCGGGTTGTGAGTCTGAAAGGCCTCCTCAGGACAAGCCTACCCCCTTTCCCGGCTTTAGTTGCCCCTCACACGCACACTCTCGCCATCCTTGGCGGTGATCTGTGGCCGAGATTTGGGCTAATGTCCGGTCTCCTGAGCTGATACTTGCAGTGGGCCATATAATGACCGCATGTCACCCTGGGTGCTCTTTTTTTTTTTTTTTTTTTTTTTTGCTTTTTGGGTCACACCCGGCAATGTTCAGGGGTTGCTCCTGGCTCTGCGCTCAGGAATTACTCCTGGCGGTGCTCGGGGGACCATATGGGATGCTGGGAATCGAACCTGGGTTCGTTGCATGCAAGGCAAATGCCTTACCCGCTGTGCTATCGCTCCAGCCCCTGCATGTCACCCTGGAGTAAATGGGCTGCTTTGGGGCTGGGTCTCCCCTGGCCACTGTGGTGGAACTTGGCCCTTCTCTGTTCTCACCAGAATCCAGAAGATTCCCCGGTTACTGGTGGGAGCGTCTGATGGCTACTTGTACATGTACAACCTGGACCCCCAGGAGGGTGGCGAGTGCACCCTGATGAAGCAGCACAAGTGAGCGGGCCTCTCACAACGCGGGCACGGGGAGGGGTGTGTGGGGACGCGGGAGAGTCCCTTTGCTCCAGCCCAGATGGGGTCCCCAGCCCCTTCTGGGAGCGTCCAGCATGGGCTGACGCAGCCCTGGTACAGCTGCTGCCTTGTTGCTGAAGGTGCCATCTCAAGAAAGTGGCATCTTCTGGTGTTGCCGCTTTGCGTGTTTAAAGGTCGTAATACTCTGGTGTTCTGGGCAATTTCCAGAGTGCACTCTGCCCTCCTCCCTCCCAGGATGAAGGGAGAGGGCCAGAAAGGATTGTGGGAAAGCATTTGCCATGCACGTGGCACCCCATGGCGTCCATTGAGCCTGGAGGAAGCCCTGAGCAGCCCCCTTTCCTCCCCCAGAAAACAGAGCGGGATGTGCTCTCCAGATTAGGGCTCAGCCCGGGTCAGTCCCCAGCACTGCAGGGATGTGGGATCCCAAGCTAGGCCTGTCTCTGACATGAGTTCTGGGACCTGAGCAGTAGTCCAGTGGTTAGGGGCTTGAGCTGAGCATGGTTCCCCATACACACAGCCCTGGCTGGCAGGCCTGAAGAGCACCACATCCTCGGTGAACCACTGTCCATGGGACCCGGAAGCCCCCTGAACTCAACTGAGACACACCCTCTCCCCCAGACACATAGTGAAGAAAGGTGCCCCTGCAAGGCAGCAGTGTGGACCCTGGGGTACCTGCAGAGCGTGCCCACAGGGATGTCCCACTTGACTGTTCCCTCCCCCAGGTTGGACGGCAGCATGGAGACGACCCATGAGATACTGGACTCGGCCTCTCAGGACTGCCCCTTGGTGGCCCAGCCCTACAGCCCCGCCGCGGCCAAAGGTACTCAGGGGCCTGCGTCCCCGACCAGACCTGGTAAGGGCGGCCGCGCCGGGCGGCTGTCGCTGTTGGCCGGCCGGCGGGAGGGCTCTGTCGGGGCAGGGCCTGTCGAGTCTGAATCACTGCATCATCTTTGAAGAAAAGCCGCCACCTGCCCGGGCCGCTCTCTGTGCACGGGGAGGGCCCCCGGCTTGTCGCCTCTCTGCTCATTCGTGACCCTCAGTGCCGACCCTGCCCGGAGGGGGCACCGGCAGGTCAGGACGCCCAATGGGCCACCTTCCCCCCAAAGTCGGCGTGAGCTCCCATGGCACCCCTGTTCTCTTGCTCACCCTTGTGATGGGCTCTTGGACACAAGCACCATGCAGTGGGGGGGCCTGACCCCTGTGTTCACTGGAGCCCCCAGATCCTGTGGGTGGCCCGTCCCTGGGAGGCCCCTTTAGGGCGGAAACAGTCCATCTTGGGCTGCCTGAAGCTCCGAGGCCTCCTCTAGCCCTCCCGCTCCCAGCCAGCCGGGGCACCCGCGGGTCCTCTGGTGGCCACCCACTGGGTGATGGATGGACTCCTTGTCTCCACAGCCTACACGGAGGAGCTGGGCGCCGTGGGCGGGGCCTGCCTGGAGGAGGAGGCAGGCACCCTGCGCCTTGAGGAGGACAGCGAGCACCCGCCCATGATCCTCCGCACCGACTGACCCGCGTGGGAGCCGGCGGGGCCCGGAGACAAGACTGTAGCTGTAGTTTGATTCCGTACTGATGAGAAATACATTGTTTTCGGTGGCTTTGAATCCTGCTCACGAATTTAGCTCTTTGTTTTTTCTTTTTTGCCAAAATACCTGTTTGGCGAAGCCCTTGGAACCTCCTCGCTTTGCATGCATTAATGTGCCAAGCCAGCAGAGGGCGCCGCGCGCCTTCCCTACTGTGAGGGCTGGGTCGGGCCAGGCCAGCCTTGCCCGGAGGAGCTGAGGAGGGGGGTGGGGCTCACAGGCTGGAGGCGGCCTCCCCAGGGCCCCTCCTGGACCTTTCCCCTCTTTTATTTTGTTAATTAAATTCTTTCCTAATTGGATTTTCCTGGGATTTCTTCCAAGTAGCCTGGACCTTGTTTCTGACCTTGCTCTCCGTGGGGCTGAAAGGGCCCCTTCCTGGCCTGGAAACCAGCGAGGCAGTGGGTGCACTTGCTCACTGGCTGCGGTGCTTGACCCCAGTTCTGTCCCCAAGTACCGCCAGGCGTGGGCTCTGAGCCCCCCCCAGAAGAGTGATGCTTGCCCCTCAAGGTGGGTGGCTGGAGTTCAGGAAAGTATGAAGTCCATGCTGGGAGAGCTGGTTGCTCCTGGTGACCCGCCCTAGTCCCGCACAGAGCAGATGCCGGCCTAGGGTTCTGGCAGCCGTGGCCTGAGCAGGCCCTGGGATGGCCCGTGTGTGTGTCTGCCTTTTCCAGGCAGGGCCAGCTGTACCGTGTGTACCCCAGGGTGCATGTGGAGGGCACTTGGGGCCTCGTGGAGTGAGCACTGACTGCAGAAAACTCTAGAAGAGCTGCTCTACTATCTCCTCAGTCCCAGGCCATCTGCCCGCTCCCAGCACCCCTGCAGCTCAGCGAAGCAGGAGCCAGTGCTTAGTGTGTATTCAGTCTGGGACGACTCTGCTGGGGGACCTCTGTTCTCTGCAGGCCGTTTCTTGGCCGTGAACCCCCTTTGTGCTGAACAGAGTCCAGTGCGGGGGGGGAGGCTCTGGCTGAGCAGGAGGTGATCAGGGACAGGGAGTGGGGACAGAACTCTGGGAAAGGCCTCCAGCTCGCCGTGGTCCCCACAGGAGCTGAACCAGAGAGCCGAGTATTTTATATCCTATTCTCCAAACTTCAGAAAAGGGGTCAAGATAATGGGGGGGTCAGGACACTTACCTTGCACACAGCTGACCTGGGTTAAATCTCTGGCACCTCATATGGTCCCCCGAGTACTGCCAGGAGTGATCCCTGGACACTGCCAAAAAGCTGAAGGCTGCTGGCTTCCAGGACATGGTTCTGTTCTGCATCCCTTTGACAAGCTCAGTCAGAGCAGCAGCAGGCAGGCGGGTGCGCTGCCAGGAGAGCCTTGGGCTAGACCATCCCTGCCCCACTCAACTGGGCCGCTTGACCACAAGGTTGTTTGTCAGGAAGGAGACGTGACGGGTGTCCAGTGCCGCCCCGGCTGGAACTCTCATGGCTTGAGGGATGGAGTGAGGGGGCTGTCTTCTGGGGTTTGTGGGTGAGCTGGGGAGGGTATGCTCTGGAACCCCGGTTTGCCGCCTCAGCCCGGCTGGAGGATAGAAACTTTTACCCATTGTCTGCCCCCTTCAGCCCCCCCGTGTCCCCTCTTTGCCCCCTGGATGTCTCAGCCTGGGGTGACCACAATCAGCCACAGGAACTGCATCTGTTTGAATGGTGGAGGAAAGGCATATCCTGGCCCCTGAGGAAATAGCAGGTGCCTTCTGGGGACCTGTCAGCCGCCCAGTGGACATGGTGGGCAGAAGGAGCAGGAGCCTGGGGTGGGTGTGGAGAGGCTCAGACACCCAGCAGGGTGCCCCAAAGGCCCCACAGCTTGGACTGTGCTAGTGTTGGGGGGTTGGTTTTGAGCATGACTAACCCAGTGGCCAGGTCCTGATCCACGAAGGGTTAGGACAGGCGTGGGGGGGGCCCTGACTGGGGAGGAGCCCATGCAAGAGTTTCTTGTTGACAGGAACAATTTTGGTGCCACCGTGAACCCACTACCCACAGCTGGTCTGGGGGAGAGCATGTACCCCCACCCCCAATTTCAAGACCCACCAGGATGTCCTGCATCAATCAAAAAGGAAAGAATGTGGGTGTGTGTGTGTGTGCGCGCGCACATGCATCTACATGCATGGATCCCACACAAGTGTGCATGTGTGTGCATTTAATACGGACTTGACCTGTGCACCCCGTATGTGTATGTGTGTGTGCGCGCGTGTGCGTGCGCGCATTTCATACTCGTGTCCCTGTGTGTACCCCTCAAGGGTACGGGAAATTCAACACTCCCTCTGGAGTATGTTTTCTTTGGAGTCTCCTTGATTGTGTCTCGGGGCCGTGTTTAAAATTAATTCCTCGCAGAATTTCCTGCAAGTGTCTCATCAGCTCTCAGAGCTGCCAGGAACTGCTCCAGCCCAGCTCTGGGTAGGGAGAGCCAAGACTTCAGGGTGTTCCCTCACTGCAGAGGGGAAGGCTGTGGCCATAGTCCCGGGGGCCATGCAGCCTCCAGAAACCCGGTGTCCCCAGAGAGCCTGCTATGATCCCAACACCCAGAGCCACTTCTCCAGTGGCCCGTGGCTATTGGCCCTGGAAGCCTCTCAGAATATCTGGAACGGCAGGTGAAGGGCCTGCATGCACCTGCCTGGGAACCAGGACAATGTTTGGGAATTTATTTTTGGTGCCAGGTCTCACACGTGTGAGGCAGGTGTCCTACCGCTGACCATGGCCCAACCTTTCCGTTTCTCCCCTTGAGATTTACCATTTTGGGCTTTTGAGGGTCACAATGCTCGGGCTACTCGCAGCTCTGCTTTCAGAAAGCACCCCCTGGCCATGCCAGGATGGAACCAACGGGTTTGCTCCTGCTTTGACCCGCTCCCAGCCTCCAGCCCGGCTGACAGAGATCACCTGTCATGAATGGAAGTGACGCTGTGGCCCCATTGGTCAGATTCCTGAGCTCAGTTCAGCCAAATTGGGGCTGGGGGCCATGCAGGATGTATTGCGCGGGGGCAAAGGAAAAGTTACGTGGGGTCCTATGGGAGGGACACTCAGCCCTAGGGGCCCGGGGACCTCCAGGCAGGTCCCTGTCTCGCCCTTCATCACTCATCACCTTTGTCCACCACAGGGGGCCCTGGGTGGTGGTGGGTTAGGGGAGCAAGCAGGGTTCAGTGGACGGCCTTGGGCTCTGTCCCTGGCGCCTAAACGTCAAGCCCCACCCCAGGCTCCAAGCCAGCAGTGGAGGTTTGGGGGGGTGCTGCTTTGATCTTCAGCCCAGAGCAACCCCGAGCACACGGGGGGGTCCCCCAGCACACTGGACCCTGTTCCCAGACAAAAGAATGTAAGATGGAGCCAGGAGACCAGAAAGAAAAATTTAAAAATAAAGTATAAGAGCTGTCATCAGCATTGCCACCTCTGTCCCTGTCAGTCACTGTCTCGCTCTGTCTCTGTTCATCTTCAACAGGGCTCAGGAGGGGTCAGGGAGATGGTCCTGGCATGGCCACTAGGGGCTTCACTCAAGTTCGGGTAAGCAGGCAGAGTCAGCCTGAGTCTGTCTCTGTGCTCAGGAGTCACTGCTCAGGCCACCCTATGGGATGCCAGGGACTGACCCAGGTCAGCCCTATCCCCTGCGCTGTCGCTCCGGCCCCCAGAGTCCTTGAATCTATTGGCAGCATGTCCGGGAACAGCTCCAGGGTCACTCAAGTTCTGGGTGTCCTGATCTTGGGGTGATCCTATGCCCCAAAGGCCCAGTCCTCACTGTGGTGGGGGGAGGCAGCGCCCAAAGCACACAGTGTCCAGGGCACTGCAGGGGGCTGGGCTCACCGCTGGGCGGCAGCTCCCGTGTTTTCTCGTGCTCAGAGCAGATGGCCGCGGCAGAAGCCAAACATTTCCCTGGCGACGGCTGCTCTCTCCCACACCCCCTCCTGTAAACAGAGAGTACAAAGGCGAGGATGCTCGACACCCAGACACCCAGCAGCAGCGGGGCTGGCTAAGGCTGGTGGAGTGGGGGTGGGGGGCCAGGTCCAAAAGGGGCGCAGGCTTGGCCCAGACAGGCCCAGAAAGGGGAAAGGGCCAAGCAGGTCCTGCGGCTTCCCAGGCATGCTTGATTGCGGCTGGACCCTGGGGAGCAGCAGCGTTTCTGGGGGGGATCCCCCAAGCTGACCAGGAAGTTGGCTCCTCCCCTCTGAGCCCACCCGTGTCCTTCCAGTGCCTGAAGTGGGGGGCTCGGGACACCTACATCAGGCAGGCACTGACTGCCTGGGCGGGGGAATACGGAGACAAGGCCACCATGTGGGGGCTCCCAGGGCAGGACTGGTATGGGGGAGGAGCCCTGCCTCCCACCCCCCCCACCGTGACCCCACACAGCTGTCCCAGACACCATCCTGTCAGCACCTTGCACACCCCCCCCCCCCGTGACCCCACACAGCTGTCCTAGACACCATCCTGTCAGCACCTTGCAGCTCTCCCCACCCATCTGCCCATGTCACCCATCACTGTGACAGATCTGAGCTGGCACGCACCAGATACGACTCCACCCGTCCATACCTCCTGCTGGCCTGTCCGCACTGCCTGTCCACACCGCCCACACATCTACACTGCCCATCCCCATGCTGTGGAAGTCCATTACTCCCGGTCTGCCTGCCCACAGCGACCCTCTGCCTCCCCCGCCCCCGCAGGCCTGGAGGGTGTGGGGTGTTGGTCAGCCTCCACACGGCCCCTCCCCTCTGCTCTGGTAGCTTTGAGGGGCTGCAAGGGAAGAGGCTGGGAGCTGGGAGGGGTGTGGAGGTTAGGGGTCACAAGGTCACCATCGCCGCGAACCCACTGGCTCCCCCCATCAGGGCGCTCGTGTCTGAAAGGGGACTCAGCCCAGACGAGAGGGGGTCCCCGGTGGGGGAGGCACCCACAGGGTTCCTGAGCCCACCAGGGATGACACTGAACCAGTCAGGAGTCAGCCCTGAGCACTGCAGGGCGTGGTCCTGAAACAAAACAAAACTAAAAAAAAATTGAGGCCAGAGCAATAGTGCAACGGGGACACCACTTGTGGCCAACCCACGCTCAGCCCCTGGCCCCCCGTGTATTCCCCCAAGCACCACCAGGAGTGACCCCTGTGTGCAGAGACAAGAATATCCCCTGAGCACTGCTCTGTGTGGCCCCCAAACAGAAAGACCCCAGTGATTACAAGGGGGCTCATAGATCCTGTCTGATCAGAGCAGGCTGGGCCATGGGGTGTCCAAGAACTAGGGTCCCTCAGCCCACAGCCTGGACACATCCATGTGGTGTTCCCACCCCCGCCTGGCCTGGCTCCCTGCTCAGCCAGTGCTCAGGCATCTAATGGGCTTTTAAGTTAATAAGTTGGAAATAAATTAGGTTTCCACTTGCAGGAAGCAGCTGGCCCAACGCTGGCCCAGAACAGCTCCCTGAGTACGGGTAGGGGTCAGTGGTGGGCACCACTGGGTCTGTCTCTTCCCAACTCTTTACCTGAAAAACTCCCCCCTTGGGGAGAGTGGACAGGCCAGTGGGTTGGTGTTCATCGTCCCCATCCCACCTTCTTCCCAGGGCCACCCAGCTGTGGGGTGAGATCCTCAAGCCTTGGGGACCAGCCCCCTCCCCTCAGCAGCCGGGGTCAGCTCTGGCTGGGATTGGTTCGGGGATGTTTTTAGACAAAATGTAAATGCAGTGAAAAAGTGCAAATGAACATTCAGGGTTGGGTGGAACTGGGTCTGGGGGGCGGGGCGGGGGGGCAGCTGGGGCTTCCTCAGAGGATCCCCGAGCCTTGGGCCGCAAGGAGTGGGGTTCCCTGCAGCTCTCGGGGCGCAGAGCAGGACTGAGACCATCTGCACCCCGGGTTCTTGCCTGCTCCTTTGCAGGAACCTCAGCCCCCAGTTTCCAATTTGGGGTGCAGAATGTCCTTCATGGTTCACCCCATTGCCTGTCGGTGTGTCACAGACCTTATCATGCCACCCATTTCCCACTTCACTGGGTGTGGGAGTCTAAACCATCACCTCTGGAAATGACTTCCTGTTTATTAGTAGCACTATTGTTTATTAGCAATATTTCTCTGGGGACCACACATGGTGGCGCTCAGGGGACTCTGCGGACATTAAACTGTGGTCAACCAAGTGTAGGGAAGCACTTATGTTTTTCTTTTGGTTTTTGGGCTACATCTGGTGGTGCTCAGGGGTTACTCCTGGCTCTGTGCTCAGGAATCATTCCTGGCGGTGCTCAGGGGACCATATGGGGGGGCCGGGGATTGAACCCCAGTCAGCCACATGCAACGCAAATGCCCACCCCACTACTCCACTGTGCTATGTCCTGGGCCCCAAGGGGACTCCTTAAGGTCTATGTCTCCTGCCCAGCTGTTCTGTTTATTGCCAGTGTCGTCCTCCAGCCGCCCACCCCCGGACCCCAACGTCCCCCCACACTGAGATTAACCAGTTTACACTCAGCAGTCTACTGACTGCCTGGAGATCCCGTTACACAGCCCTGGCCTTGGGGAGCACGAGAGCAGGGAAGGAGGATGAGGGGGTTCTCCCATCCCTGCCCCCTAAGAAGAATTTGGAACCTCCAGTTCATGCCCACCCACCCCTGGGCCCCAGGGAGTTGGTGCTGGGGGGCCGGCACCCCAGAGGCTCTCAGATGGGGGGACCAGAAGCCTGGGGCAGGGCGGTGGGGACGTCCTGGCATCCCTCCCTAAGAACCGCCTCCCGCACTCACTCAACCGAGGTCATTTTCTGAAAGAGGGTGGTGGTGGACTTCCGGAGGTCATGAGGAGGAGAGGGGAGGGAAAGGGGGGAAGAAAGGGGGAGGGAAGGAGATGGGGGGGAGGAAAGGAGGGGAGGGGAGGAGAGGAGGGGAAGAGGGGAGGGGAGGAGAAGATAGAGAGGAGGAGGGGAGGGGTGGAGGGAGAGGGGGAGGGAGGAAGGGGCGGGGCGGGGCGGGAGGAGGGAGAGGAGGCGGAGCGCGCCTGGCAGGGCCCCCCAGGGCTGTGCTCGCTGCAGCCGCGGCGCCCCCGGACTCGCTCGACCCGGGCGGCGGCCGCGGGACCCACGGAGGAGACGGCGGCGGCGCAGACTCCGGGTGCGTCGCGGGGCGCGGGGCGCAGGGTGCGGGGCGTGGGGCGCGGGGTGGGGGAGTGCGGGGTGGAGGCGCGGCGCGGAGGGTGCGGGGCGCGGCGCGGGCGCGGGGACCTGTCGGAGCCTTTGTCTGCGGCGCGCTGGCCGGCCCCCAGCCTCCCACTCGGCCTCCTGTCCCGGCAGGGGGTCCCCACATCGGCGCGGACACTTGCGGGAGCAAGTCGGGGAGCCCTGCCGCCGCCCGGGCTGGGGCCAAGTTTGTTGCTGCGCGCGTGGGGTGCAGGGGCGGTGGGGTCAGGGACTCCAGATGTGGCACCGAGAGGCTGCAGGATGTGGGGGTCTGACTGCCACCCAAGGGCACCGAGGCCACGGCGGGCAATGGGCGGGGAGAGCAGGTGGAGGCCGTGGAGTGTCATCTTCTGGGCACCGTACAGAACCAGACCCCGTTGCAAAAATCGGGGCTCCCTGCCCTGGTGACTGGCTTTTCTGCCTCAGTCGAACTTTCTACACAGTGGGGCCATACTCAAGCCCTCCCCAGTCTGGGGGGGGGGTGTCACAGAAATGGGGGGTGGCCACAAGCCCCCACCCCACTGGGCAGACTGTTCTCAGGTCACATTGTGCGGTGGAAACTGAGGCCCCAGCCCAGGGCTCTGAAGGCAGGGAGTTGGGGGCCAGGCTGGCCGACTGGATTTGAGTACGTGGGGTCCCACTGGGGGAGGGGCCAGAAGGGGACTGACCCATGGGATTGGTCAGAGGCCCTCTGGGAGCAGCGATGTGGCTGTCACAGGGCCAGTGGCCAGTGTGGGGACAGTGACCAATGAGATCCGCAGTTGATGCAGTGACAGTGGCCAATGTGGGGATAGTGGCCCCCACGGGGACCTGGCTAGCCTGAGCTCAGTCTCCAGCCGCCCTCTCTAGCCGGCCTCCGCTTCAGGCTGGATCCTGGCCGGTGGCCACTAGGGCGGAGGAGGCACCCGCAGGGATGCCTGAGTCTGAGGGGAGAGTGAGGGGCCAAAGTGTGCCCAGCTCTGATTTCATCCAAGCCTCCTGCACCCTTCCTGGTCACCCCTCCCCCACTCAGGGCCTCTGGCTCCCCCAAACGGCTGGAAGTCCTGGTCCTGGTCCTGCTCCGACTCTGCTGTGCTGGGGCAGATGCACTGGGGGTTGCCCTGGTGATCCTGACTTGCCCCAAACGAAACGGAAGAAACAACAGAAAAGTCTGTAGAGCTAGAGGAGGTGCAGGCGGGGCGGGGCCGTATGCCAGGCACAGCTCACCCAGAAAGCACACGGGGCAGGAGAGCTGGACAGAGCAGGCAGGGGCGACCTGTGGGTGGGCCTCTCAGAGACTCTGGGTGCTCTGGCATGCGGGATCCCCGGACAGGGGTGGCACATTTGAGCCGGCTGCGGGGCCCCAGCCCTGGGGTCCACCTCTCCATGAGCTGCGTTGGCTACCAGGTGGAGAAAAAGGGCATTTGAAGGGCAAATTGATCCGAGTGGCGGGGAGACCGCTGGCCCTGCAGAGCAATGCTGTCTCTCCATTACTCCTTGTTCTCCTAAACCACAGTTTAGGGCTTAGGAACAAGGCAGAGAAACTGAGGCTCAGCCTCGGGAGGTGTGTCCCACATGCCCTCGGGTTTGCTTGGTTTGGTTTTTAGTTTTGGGCCACACTCAGTGGTGCTCAAGGTTACTCCTGGCTCTGTGCTTGGGATCACTCCTTGCAGTGCTCAGGGGACCATATGAATGCCAGGGATTGAATCTGGGTCAGCCACATGCAAGGCAAACGCCCTCCTGGCTGTGCTGTTCCCCTGGTCCCCACACTCCCTCAGACCGGGTTTGGCTCCAGGTTGACCAGAGCTGGGAGGGGAGGTGGGGGGCTCCTGTCACCCCTTCCCACATGTCAGAAGTGGGTGTGAGGTCGGAGAGAGACTGCAGCTGGGAGGGGTCTTACAATCCGGGTTTGATTCCCAGCACCTAGAATGGTCCCTGGCACAGACCCAGGAATGACCCCGAAGCAGAGCCAGGAATAAGCCCTAAGTACCTCTCGGTGTGAACCAAAATCAAAAGAGAGGCCATTGTCACCTTCTCAAAGAGAAGTGGGGTACGGGACTCCCCATCCATGTCACTGGCACTAATCCCTGGACTTCTGACTGCTCACTGGTCCTGGCTTCTCCCTCTATGCCCACTGCCGCCTCCCCCAGGCAGCCCTCTATCATGGTCCTGACTGCATTAGTCTTAGATCAAGTGCCCCTCCTCTGGTGGGTACGTCTGCTCCATGCTCCATTGTGCAGTGCGGGGGTCTTCTCTTGCTGCCCCTCAGCCTCCACCTGACTTTCTCTGCAGCGTGGACTGTCATGGGCTCCGCGGGGAGTCAGCGCCTCAAAGAGCCCACCATGGCGGGCACCCCTGAAGGCAGCACCGTGACCAGCTTCAGCATCGACAGCGACCAGCCTGAGGCAGGGGCAAGAGGTGCCCCGCTTTTCTCCGACTCTGACTCTGGTAGGAGAGGGTGGGGGTGTCTTGGTCTTGGGACCCCCGGGGCTCTGGGCTGGGGTGGCAGCAAACACCAGTGTCGAGTATTTGAACTCTGGGCAGCAAGTGGGCCCCCAGGTGTCCCCGTTGGATGCCCAAGTTCAGTGATGTCCCTGGGCTGTGCTTCAAGGCAACTGCTAAGGCCCCATGGCCGCCAAGCACAGAGCCCACCTCAGGCCTCACTCCAGAAACCATGGGTCTTGTGCTATTTGGGGGCGTCTGGGCAGGCCGGTGATGGAGCACACCTGCAAATGTTGATGGAGATTGAGACCGTGTTTTCAGTGTTGTGTGACTTTGGGCATGGACTGCAATCTCTCTGAGCTGCAGTCTCCCGGTCTCCTCTTGTGTCCCACCCTGATGGAAGCAGACATTGGCTGCAAGTGTGGACGGCTTGTGGGTCTGTGCAGGTTCAGGGTTGGCCACTCCCCAGCTCAGCGACTCTGGGGTCCCACTCAGGCCCCTGGTCTCTGTGCCTCGGTTCCTTTGTCCGGACAGGAGCAGGGGTGTTGTCAGCCCTCAACTGCGTCACCGAATCCCTGGGAGATGGCTCAGGGTTCCCCGCACTGTGGTCATGCCAGTGCGCCTTCTGCCCCACTGTCATATTCTGGAGGTTGGGGTCTCCTCTGTCCTGGGCGTATCCCCGAATCTGCTTGGGCCAGCCCCCAGGCGCTCAACTCCCCCAGGGTCGGTGTGACCATGGGGGCCCCATGGCAGTGACCTCGAGATGGATGGCGGCTCCTGTGGCAGCGCAGGCGGCAGCTCTGAGTGTGGTGCTGGCAGGAGCTAGGTGGTGAGTCAGTCAGTGAGTTCAGCCGGGTGAGAAACGCCCACGCACAACTGGGTTTACTACTACAGATTAGCTGTCTAGAGTGGCGGCTGGCGAAATATGAGGGGCCGCGGGGACTTGAAGCAGAAAGGAAATTGTGACGGGCTGGAAGCCATGGGTGGGAGCTCTCTGAGATCTTTGTGAGCCGGGATGAGCCAATTAGCTCTCACCTGATTGAGTCAGGCCTCCGTGGGACAAATTTCCTTTTTGCTGAACTTAAGAGTCAGCTAAAGAAGGACTTGGACCCACAAAATCTCTTTCTTCTTGTCTGTACATCTGTTTGAATGCATGCAGGGCTGTTTTCAACCTGCCAAATGGACCTGGAAAGTGACCTTCACAGTCTACCCCCATCACCCGGCCCCCCACTGAATAGTTCCTTCAGCCATACTTCTGGCAAACACTGACAATGTTTGCCCCTTGACACTGGTGACACCCAGGGTCCCAGGATCTCGCCGCACCTGGCTCCAGAGGAGGAAAAGTTCTGGCATCCAGCAATGCTTAGGGGTTCCTCCTGGCTTTGCACTCAGGAATTACTCCTTGCAGTGCTTGGGGGACCATATGGAATGCCGGGGATCGAACCCGGGTCGGCCGCGTGTAAGGCAAATGCCCTACCTGCTGTGCTATCACTCCAGCCCTACTTTTGGCATCTTAAGTCTGGAGACACTTCCTGCAGACCCACACTCAAGTCGCCGCTTGGAAGGGGGCCAGAGGGAATCAGCACAAGTGTCTGGTTGACTCTGCACCCCCATGTTCGTACCATGGTGCATCTCCTGGGACCGGCCCCCAAGTGGCAATTCTCGGCAGTGCTCCCATCCTGTCCCCTCATCCTCAGAGCGCACTGCGGCATGTTCGTCCGCTGAGGTTCCAGCCTTCACAGTGGCTCTGGGCCGGCTGCGCTGCTGGGTCTAGGCCGCCACTGCTCAGCTTCGGACAGGCCCAGAAGTGCTCAGGGTGGCCGGGGCTCCCGGTATGCTTGGGTGACCCTGGCCCTCACGAGTGGCCTGGCTCCTTGTCCTCACCCCGAGGAGCGCCCCCCCCCCCCATGGCTGAGTGCCGTCTCACACTTGCCTTTGGGCCTCAGAGCCCTGAGTCATGGAAGGGAGGTGAAGGCCAGTGAGTGGGTCAGTAGGGTCGCCAGGCCATGTTGGGCCCCTGACCACATCAATGCCCCAGGGGCCAGTGCCCGCTGTCCTCCTCCCCAGAACCAGCTGCCCCCCACTCAGCCTGCGACTGTCCCACTGTTTGTCATCCTGTTGTCCCTGTGGGGATGAAGCCATTCTGGTGGTAGGGTGATGCCCGAGGGGTCATGGGTGGGTGGTTGTTTACCTGGTGATCAAGAAAGTGATGACCATGAGGGCCATGGCTGTGCTGTGGTCATGTGGATGATGGATAGCCAAGTGCAGTGTCCATGTGGTCTTGCTGTAGTGGCCATGGCCTCTGTGGACCACAGCCTGGGGTTGTGGCCGAGAGTGGTGGCCAAGTGTGGGTAGTGACCATAGAGGGAATCTGTGTGGACAGTGCCCCTGAGGCAGTGGCTTTAGCCATACATGGACGATGGCACACCCATGCCAAGCTGGACAGATGTGTGGATAAAATGGGAACCAGACAGACTCTCCCCTGGTGCAGTGACCATGTCACATGTGGATGGTGGCCTTCCCAGTGTGGACCATGACCATGCATGGACAGCTATCCTGACGTGGAGACCATGGCCTGGGGGAATGTTGCAGCTTATGTGCTGGTGGCCCTGGTGGAGTACCATGGCCTGCACGGATGGTCATCCTGGGGCAGTGCCGAGCCTGCAGGGAAGGTGATCCTGGGGCAGTGGCCATGCCTGCAGAGATGGTGACCCTGAGGTAGTAGCTGTGCATGCATGGACAGTAACCCTGGGGCAGTGGTCATGGCTGTGTGGATGGTCACCCTGGGCAGTGACTGTGGCCTGTGGGTTGGTGGCAGATGCGCCAGTGCCCGGAGACCGCTACCATGCCATCTACTTCGCCATGCTGCTGGCCGGCGCGGGCTTCCTGCTGCCCTATAACAGCTTCATCACGGACGTGGACTACCTGCACCACAAGTACCCAGGTGGGTGGCGCGCTCGCAGCCCCTAGGGGTGGCAGGCGAGGGCTCCCTTGAGTTCTGCCCCCCCCCCCCCGTGCCCACAGGGACCTCCATCGTGTTTGACATGAGCCTGACCTACATCCTGGTGGCGCTGGTGGCTGTGCTGTTCAACAACGCGCTGGTGGAGCGCCTGAGCCCGCACACCCGGATCACCGCGGGTATGTCTGCCTCCTCCTGGGCCCCGCCTGTCTCTGACCTGGGCGCACCTTCCAGAACAGGGTCAAGTTTCAGGGGCTGTAGCACATTGCCCCCAAGATGGGGTCTCCCCTCAGCCCACTGTGCTCCATTTTCCTGTGCTTTCATGGCTGCATCTGGCTTCGAGGTGCCACTCAAGAGGTGCTTCCTCCAGGAAGCCTTCCAGGTGTCCCTCAGACCTTGACAGTGCTTCAGTACTGAGGGGAGGGAGGGTGTGAGCTCCCCACCCCTCACTCTTGTCCCATCTTGTTGCCCCCCCTCCCAGGCTACCTCCTTGCCTTGGGACCCCTCCTCTTCATCAGCATCTGTGATGTGTGGTTGCAGCTCTTCTCTCGGGACCAGGCCTACGCCATCAACCTGGCCGCGGTGGGCACCGTGGCCTTCGGCTGCACAGGTAGAACCGGGGTGGGCTGGGCAGGGCTGCTCAACACCAGGCTACATCGGCATGTCACATGCTATGTGTGTGTACATCTGCCTCCAAAGACACAACTGTTGCATGAACATGTCCACACACGTGCCGCTGTCTTCATGCATACGCATGCCCGCATGCATGCCATCATCTGTGCACACACACACACACACACATTCCACATACTTGACACTATGTGCACCCCCCCATGTGTCATTGTGCATGCATACACACATGTTCTACTGTCTGTGCACACATACACATACTCCCACATGCCACTATTTGTACTTGCGCACACACCACTGTGCACATATACATACACCCACAAATACATGCCATTGTCTCCACACGCACACATCTGCACACACCCATGCAGGCACACCCTCCCATGATCAGACTTACACACACACACACACACACACACTTAAAGACCCTCTATCACACATTCACACACTCACACTAACAGTCATACACACATTCACACTCTCAAAATATCCACATGCTCACAAGACTCACACTGTCACATAAGTCCACACATACAGATTCAATCTCATACATACATACTGACACACACACACATACACATTCTCTGTCACACCACATTTCCTCACCCATTCCCACCTCATTCTCACATATATGCACACATTTTCACATTTTCTCACACTATCACACATCTCACAAATTTTCTCACACTCACAAATACTCTCACATACATTCTCGCACACATTTTCTCACAGTTCTCTCACAGAATCACTTTTCTCACATTTTCAAACATTTTCTCACTCATTCTCTCTTACAGCACACACATTTTCTCACACCCAACTTTTATTTCCTTTGTTTTTGTGCCACACCTGGCGATGCACAGGGGTTACTTCTGGCTCTGCACTCAGGAGTTACTCCTGGTGGTGCTCAGGGACCATATGGGATGCTGGGGACCGAATCCAGGTCAACTGCGTGCAAGGCAAACGCGTACCTACCTCTTGTACTGTCACTGTGGCCCCCACAACTTTTCTTACATTCTCACACACTCACACACTTCCCCACACATGTTCTCTCTCATACCACACATTTTCTCACACACACTCATATACTTTCTCACGTATTTTCTCACACACATTCTCTCTCTCGCACACACACATTTTCTCTCACCCATGTCTCCATGTTGTTTGTTTGTTTTTTGCTTTTTGGGTCACACCTGGCAATGCACAGGGGTTACTCCTGGCTCATGCACTCAGGAATTACTCCTGGTGGTGCTCAGGGGACCATATGGGATGCTGGGAATCAAACCCGGGTCGACCATGTGCAAGGCAAATGCCCTCCCTGCTTGTGCTATCGCTCCAGCCCGTCTCCATGTTGTGTCCTAGAGGTGACTGGTTCTGACTCGGCTCCTATGCAGGCGCACAGAGGTCCCCTCTTTGGTCTGGGGTTGTCCTTCTGGGGGGCAGGGACATGGATTTCAGGGGAAGGCACTGTCAAGGCCTTTGTGTGTAACTGCCATCAGGATGGGCAGCACCCACCCGCCTGCCTGTGCCTCAGTTTTGCCTGATGCCTCAGGGGGGTCAGAGGCTGTGACGCTGGCTGTGGGGCGCTCACAGGCGCGTCTCCCCGCAGTGCAGCAGTCCAGCTTCTATGGCTACACCGGCATGCTGCCCAAGAGGTACACGCAGGGGGTGATGACGGGGGAGAGTGAGTATCTGAGCGCTCTGCCCGGGGCAGCCCTCACCATGCTCTTGGGATCAGAAGCCACTCTGGGGTCGCGCCCACCTCTGTGGCCCCCACCCACCTCCCCTTGTGGCTGGTGTCCCCTGGGTGACGCCTGCCCGCCCGCACCCGTCTCGGCTGACACAGTGACCCAGGGCGTGGCCGGCGGGAATGCTGCTTTCGGGTGCGCCGCCCGCTCCCCCCACCGTGGGCTGTGCGGGGTCCCCGCCGCTGTGCCGCTTTGGGGTGATTTCTGGTGATGCTCGCGGGCCACTTCTCACGCTGGGGTCACTCGGGACGGTGCCCAGGGGTGGCGCCGGCCTCCCGCCCCGACAGCCCCGCACCCCCCCCCCCCGCCCCGGGAGCGCCCACTCGCCCCCCCCCCCCCGCTCAGGCCGGGCCGTCCCCGTGGGGTGGGTGGCCGGGGCGCCGCGCGGCCTCCCGTCCCGTCCGTCCGTCCGTCCGTCCCGCCCCGCAGGCACGGCGGGCGTGATGGTGTCGCTGAGCCGCATCCTCACGAAGCTGCTGCTGCCCGACGAGCGCGCGGGGACGCTCATCTTCTTCCTGCTGTCGGCGGCGCTGGAGCTGCTGTGCTTCCTGCTGCACCTGCTGGTGCGCCGCAGCCGCTTCGTGCGCTCCCACACGGCGCGCCCGCGCCCGCGCCCCGCCCGGCCCGGCTACCGCGCGCACCACGACGTGGCGGCGGGCGACGTGCGCTTCCTGGTGAGCCGCGCCCTCTGGCGGCCGCGGGCCGCGCGGCAGGCGGGAGGGGCGCGGGCCGCCAGGGGGTGTCGCGGGGGTGCCGCCCCCCGCCCGTCCCGTCCCCCCCAACCCCCCGCGCGCTTCTCCCAGGAGCACCAAGGCGCAGCCCTGGACGGCGGCGGGTCCCCGAAGGACAGTCCAGTCCACGAGCTGCCCCGCGGCGGAGCGGGCGCCTACACGCGCTTTGACGTGCTCCGGCCCCGGGCGCGGCGGAGCTGGCCGTCCTGCAGAGGTGCGGGGCCGGCCGGGCACGCGCGGGCGGGCGGGCGGGCCGGGGGCGGCCGCCGGGGCCGCGGGCCGTCCCTGACCGCGGTCCCCACAGCCCTGCTGCTGCACCGCTACGCCGTGGCGCGTGTCATCTGGGCCGACATGCTGTCCATCGCCGTGACCTACTTCATCACGCTGTGCCTGTTCCCGGGTCTCGAATCCGAGATCCGACACTGCGTCCTGGGCGAGTGGCTGCCCATCCTCATCATGGCCGTGTTCAACCTCTCGGACTTCGTGGGCAAGGTGGGCCCCGCCCCGCCCGTCCTCCGCATGGGGACCACGCCCCTCGACCCTCCAGGCCCCGCCCATGCCGCACGACCACACCCCTCGAGTCCTCCTGTCCCGCCCATGCACGCACGACCACGCCCCTCAGCCCCTCTCGACCACGCCCATTCCCCATGACCACGCCCCAGGCCCCGCCTACGCCCGCACGACCACGCCCCTCTCCCCTCCCAGTCCCGCCTATGCCCGCACAACCTCGGCCCTCCCGGCCCCGCCCATGTCCGATTGACCACGCCCCTCAGCCCCATCAGGCCCTGCCCATCTTCGCGCGACCTCGCCCCTCCCGGCCCCGCCCATACCCGCACGACCACGCCCCTCAACCCCTTCTGCCCATGCCCACACGACCACGCCCCTCGGCCCCACCCATTCCCGCACGAGACCTCGACCCTTCCCAGCCACGGCTATGCCCCAATGACCACGCCCCTCGGCCCCTCCCTGCCCCGCCCATGCACGCACAATCACGCCCCTTGGCTCTCCCGGCCTGCCCCGCCCATGCCCACACGACCACACCCCTCGAGCCCTCCTGTCCCGCCCATGCACGCACGACCACGCCCCTCAGCCCCTCTTGGCCCCACCCATTCCCGCTTGACCTCGCCCCTCGACCCCTCCCAGCTCCGCCCATGTCCCAATGACCACGCCCCTCTCCCGCCCCCGCCCGTGCACACGCGACCTCGGCCCCTCCCTGCCTCGTCCATGTCCGCAAGAGCACGCCGCTAGCCCCTCTCGGCCCCGCCCATGCCCGCACGACCAGGACATGGAGGTACTGTGGCCCCTCGGTACCTCCCGGACCCGCCCCAGCAGGCGACCACGCCCCTAGGCGCCTGGCCCCGCCCATCGTGTAGACCCACATGATCACGTCCCCACCCACCCCACCCCTCCCCCTAGTTAGCGGGAGGGGAAGCCAGGGGTGGTCCCCAAAGACAGGCCTGGGCCCAGAGGAGGAAAGCCCAGGGCAGAAGGGTGGAACTGGGATGTCTGGGGGCACCCGGGCAGTGGGGCCGGGCAGGGGCCACATGCCTGCTGCCCGCAGATCCTGGCAGCCCTGCCCGTGGACTGGCGAGGCACGCACCTGCTGGCCTGCTCCTGCCTGCGCGTGGTCTTCATCCCCCTCTTCATCCTCTGCGTGTACCCCAGTGGCGCGCCCGCCCTCCGCCATCCGGCCTGGCCCTGCATCTTCTCACTGCTCATGGGCATCAGTAACGGCTACTTTGGCAGCGTGCCCATGATCCTGGCCGCCGGCAAAGTGAGCCCCAAGCAGCGGGAGTTGGCAGGTGAGGCCCCCGTCCGTTAGCCAGCCCTGGGGACATCTGGGGCCACTCGGCCCACCCACTGATACCATAGGATGGCTGGCCCCCACGATGGCCATCCAGTGAGTCTGAGGGTGGTGAGTGATGGCAATCAGGGAAAAGGGATTAGAAATTTCCTTGTGACTTCACAAGGCCAGTAGCCATCTGGGAAGACCTCATGGAGGAGGTGACTTTTGAGCAAAAAGGCAGAAGCAGAGGGAGCCAGCCAGGTGGCACAAGAAAGGTCAAGGCTTCCATGGTCAGAGGGTGAGGTTTATGTGGGAAACGTAAGGCCCAGTGTCATGGGGGGGGGGGCAGGAGCTACACTCATGGGAAAAGCCCTCAGGTGCTCCCACAACCAGGAGGGTGGGGAAGGAGCACTGGGAGGAGGAATGTGGACTTGGAATGGGGAGAACTGGAGGAAAGCGGGGAGGAGGGAAAGCAGGGAGGAGGGAGAATGAGAAATAGGGAGAGCAAGGAGGAGAGTGAGCGGGGAGGGAGAGGAGCGGGGAGGAGAGGAGCAGGAAGGAGGGAGAGGATGGGGAGGAGGGAGAGAGGGAGGAGGGAGAGGAGGAACGGGGAGGAGGTGGAGGAGGAACGGAGAAGGGAGAGTGGGGAGGAAGGAGAAGAGTGGGGAGGAGGGAGAGGAGGAGCAGGGAGGAGGGAGAGTGGGTGGGAAGAGAGCTGGAAGCACCCACAGGGCTGGCTCACAGTGGGGTGTTGGGGAGTGGGGACGGTGGGTGGCGGGGCACCTGGAACAAGGCCGTCGTGTCCGCAGGGAACACCATGACCGTGTCGTACATGACGGGGCTCACGCTGGGCTCCGCCGTGGCCTACTTCACCTACAGCCTCACCCGGGACGCCCCCAGCGACTGCTCCTTCCCTACCACCTCCAACACCTCTGTCCTCATCGGCCTCTGAGCCCCGACTGCGGCCTGTGTTGCAGTGAGGGGGGAGACCCCAGCCACCCGGGGTCTGTAGGAGGTGGGACCTTTCCCCCAATTCCTACCAGTCTGAGCCCCATGTGTCCCCCCATATGCCTCAAGGCCCTGCTCCAGCCAAGCCAACGGTCAGATGCCATCCCCACCTGCTCGGGACCCTGTGCACTCCTAGGTGACTTCTCACCCCATTCACATGGGTCTCAGGAGGGGGCTAAGCAGGACCCCCCCTCCCCCCAAGCTGGAGCGGCACAGAGGGCTGGGGGTGGCACCTCTGTCCTGCCAGGCCATTAAAGTCGCAGGCCACTCCTTCCTATGCTGCCGAGTGTCTGTTGTGTGTAGGGTGGGGTGGGTGGTGTCCCAGGGAGCAGGCTGGGCTGCAGGGGGCCCCCAAGGAGGGTGGAACAGTGGCAGGCTGGTCAGGGGTCCCAAGCCCCGGCCCCGTCTCTCCACCACGGGGAGCTGGCAAAAAGCCTCCTCTGGGGCCCAGCCTCAGTGGAGTATCCGCTAGTGGGGGATGGGGACATGTCCCTCCTGGGCCTTCTCAGGGGTCCCCAGCTCTGACCCCAACCCTCGGGTCAACTGGTCCCTGTGGCAGCGTGTCCTCTCAAGGGCACCCACAGAAGCAGGGACACGGGGGTTCCCCCTCCCCATCACCCCAGAAATGACCAGCTCAGACAACATTCCTTTTCCAATGATAACTTTTTCTTGGCTTTTTTTTTCTTTTTCTTTTTTATGAAAATGATCACACAGAATTCGCCAACAAACAGAATTAAAAAAACAAACAAACAAACAAGAAACCAAAAAGGAAACCACCATTCTCCCCCCCCAAAACAAAACCAAAGTCTGGCTTTTCCTTCCCTTAAGATTGTCTGGATGAGGGCTTCAGCCCCAAGGGTGCTCTCCGGGTGGGGGTACGCGGGGGGGGGGGGGCCCTGGCGCCCGGCTCCTCCCTCCGGGGGGCCACACGGGATGGGGTGAGGCAGGCAGGGCAAAAGCGGACACTAGTCACTCACAATCTAACAGGAAATAAAAATAATATTCTGCACGTCAGACTGTTCGCTTTTTTTTTATAATTTCATATCTATTTTTTTCACAGTTTTAAAAAGTTTATATTTATATATATTTATATATATTTATCTTTATATATATAATTAAAAAGTCGACTCCATTTAGAGGAATATGATACAGGGCAGGCAGGGCAGAGAAAACTGTACAGGCAGACGCGCCCCGGGCCAGCGGCCCGAGGGTTTCAGCACCATTGGTTGTCTGTAGTGTGACGGTCTGGGCCGGGGTGGCCGTGGCCGGGCCTGCCTGACCCCCGGGCGCCCCCCGCGTCTGGCTACCCCAAGGCTAGCACTAAGTGCGGGCGCTCAGAGCCAGGCTGGCGATGAGGGGGGCCCCAAGCCGAGGCCCCCTGGGCCCCCCAGTCCGCCTTGCCCAAGTGCTTTCCAGGTGCTGGAGGCAACCCGGCGCCTCATAGTCCGGGGGCCACAGCGCGTGCACGGGGGCATGCATCCGGGCACACACAGGGCTGCGCCCCGTGGGGCGTCACGACCATCATGCACACGCCCCCCCTCCCCCCCACCGCGGGCCTGCGGGCCCAGCTCAGCACAGCACGGGCACCCCGTCGGTGGAGAAGATCATGCCCGTGGTGGGCTCGTAGGTGCCCGCGAGGTAGTACAGGCCCTCGCTGTCCTGGTGCTTCTTGGTCCTCAGCAGCTGCTCATACTGCTCCAGCCCCACGACCAGGCACTTGTGCGACACCGTCTGCACGTCATTCTCGTCCACGTGTGAAGACTGGTACAGGGCGCGCTGCGGGCACAGGGGCGGGTCAGGGCGGACAAGCAGGGGCAGAGCGGGCCCAGCTGGGGGTCAGGGCTGGCCTGCGATCCCGAGGGACAGCAGAGGAGGTGATGGGTGTGAGCAGGGCGGGGTTGGGAGTACCGCCCCCTAGGGCTTGGGTACCTCCATGAAGTCCTTCCTCTGGCTGGAGGCGCGCAGAGCTGCCGGGAGGCTGCGGCCTGACTTCTGGTCCCACTGCCGGGCGGGAAGAAGGGCGGGTGAGACCCAGGCAGAACCCCCCCTCCCCCACCCCTGCCAGCTCCGTCATCCGTGCCCGCCCCTCCCTGCACCTACCTGGCCTTCGTGCAGCCGCTTGCCCGGGCTGGTCTCCTCGGGGTGGTAGAACCACTTGACCCGCACCACCATGTTGCTGCCCCAGGACTCCCACATGCTCTGGATGCGGCCGATGTAGGGCAGGTTGGGGCGGCCGGCCGACAGGAAGACGGCGCAGTCGCCGATGCGGATCATCTCCTTCCCCCGCACGATGGCCTTGTAGAACAGCTTGCGGGCTTTGCCCTTCATGCCGCGGCGCTGTGGGCACAGGGCACATTCACGGTTGGGGCCCGGGGCTGCCCGCCCTCCGGGCAGTCCCCCACCACACATGGGGACCTCAGGGTCTTCCCTGCAGCCCCGGGGTCCTGGACACGCAAATCAACTGCCTGTGCCACCCCCGGAGTCCCAGAACCCATCAGAGACTGGGCGGCAGCTCCGGGTGTGGACAGGGGCCCCCAGGGTGTGGATAGTCTGGGTGGTAGCACGGCACCTCCACCAGGGAACCCTGGGTCAGTGCAGGGAGCAGGGCCGGAATCCAGCCTGTCCCACTGAGGGCCGCGGGAGGGGTTAGCCCCTGTCGCTCACGGGAAACTCACAAGCGAGCACGTGTGCGCAGGCGTTGTGTGTGCCGAGTCGGCACAGCCTACCTGGGTGGGTTTGCCGAACCACTTCCAGAGCTGCCGGGCGGGCAGGAAGGCGGCAATCTTGGGCCGGTTCTCCACGGACGGCAGGCGCTGCCTCTTGGCCAGCTCCTTGGTGGTGGGCAGGTGGACACCCTCCCTCTTCTTGGGGCGGCTCTTGGCGCCGCCGCCCGCGGGAGCCTTGGGCGCTAGGGGGGGCTGGGCGGGCTGCGTGGGGGCGGCGGGGGCCGCGGGGCGCACCTTCCCGGCGGGTTTGGGAGCTTTGCTAGGCAGTGCCGGGGTCGCTGAGGGCCCGGCCACCGCCGCAGGGGCCGCCTCGTCATCGGAACTGCAGGAAGAGTCGTCGGTGGTGGAGGACGAGGAGGATGAGGAAGAGGAGGAGGAGGACGACGATGATGACGATGATGATGAAGAGGAGGAAGAGGAAGAGGAGGAGGACGACGAGGAGGAGGACGAAGAGGAGGATGAAGAGGATGAGGAGGACGAGGAGGAGGAGGACGAGGAGGAGGAGGAGGAAGAGGAGGATGAGGAGGCGCAGGCCTGGCCGTCCTCGCCCTCGGTCTCGGAGCTGCCACTGTCGCTGCTCTCGGATTCCTCGGCCCCGTCCCGCCCCGCCTGGCCTTTGTCAGGGCTCTTGGCGGCCCCTGAGTCCTCGAAGGCAAGGCCAGGCCCAGGCTCCTGCGATGCTGCGTCTCCGTCGGCCGCCAGGGCCTCGCCGGTGCCCGCGGTGGGCAGGAAGCCGCCCAGCGCCAGCAGGCCCCGGGGCTCGTCCCGGAGAAGCAGGGCCTCCTTGGCCTTTTTGCTCTTGGGGGACGTCACCCCCTCGTGGTCCAGCTTGACCAGAGGCTCGGCGGCCTCCCCTGGCCTCCGTGCTCCCTTGCCGGCCGGCTCCTCGGGAGCGCGGGCCTTCTTGGGCTTGGGGCGGGAGGCGGGCATGGCCCCGGGCGAGGGTGTGAGAGGGGCCGGGGCCAGGGCGGCCGCGGGGGCCGGCAGCTCCCGGAAGGGCTCGGGCGGTGCAGGGCAGGGCTGAGGGGGCGCTGTGCGGGCCTTGGGCGCTCTGGCCCGTTTGTCCACAGTGTCTGGGGGGCTCTTCTTGGCGCTGGCGGTGGCACCACTGACTGGCTCCGGCGCCGCTGGGGTGCTCGGGGCCTCGGCTGTGGCTCCTGCCTCCTCCAGGATGGTGGCTCTGTCTGGAAGAGGCGAGGGAGCAGAGAGCAGGTTGCAGGTCGCCCTGTCCCGCGTCCCGTCCCCCGCCACCTCGGAGGGCCCGGCACCGACGTACCGCCCTTGCCTTTGGCACTGGGCCTCCGTCCGCGGCCCCGTGCCTTGGCGCCCGGCTCGTCTGATGCTGGCGTGGCGGCCTCCTTGCTGTCCCCAGCGGTGTCTTTGCTGGTTTTGCGGCTACGGCGCTTGGCACTGGGCACCAAGAGGGCGGGGGACGGCTCGGCACCTGTGGACAGGACACAGCCGCTCGGTCAGGCTGTGGGAGGCGGGCACACAGGTCTGTCCTCCTGGGCTGACCCGGGCTGCCAGGGGCTGGGCAAGGGCCCACGGCTGCAAACACGGCCAGGGGCCCGGCTTGGGACAGAACGGGGGGCTCAGCTCCCCAGCAGTCGGGAATTTTTTTTTTTTTTTTGCTTTTTGGGTCACACCTGGCAATGCACGGGGGTTACTCCTGGCTCTGCACTCAGGAATTACCCCTGGCGGTGCTCAGGGGACCATATGGGATGCTGGGAATCGAACCCGTCGGCCGCGTGCAAGGCAAATGCCCTACCTGCTGGGCTATGGCTCCAGACCCATAGTCGGGAACTTTCTAATGTTCCCAGCTTAGCTAGATGAGGCTCCCACCCACGGAGGCCACATCCCACACACCCCGTGGGCTGAAGCCACAACAGCACCCCCACTCAGCCTGCATCCCAAGGCCCGTGCCCACACAGCCTGCGCCCCAAGGCCCACACTCACACTGGATCTTGTAGTCGGGGGGCAGGAGACGGATGTGGGACAAGGGGATCCGCCCCGTGTCCCCGTCGTCAAACTCCACTGTGATCAGGTCCCCATCGTCCTCGAGGTCCAGAAGTCCTGGGGGGCAGAGGACACGAGTGGTCGTAACTCAGGGTGATGGAGGGAGGGGGTGCAGCAGGGCCCAGGGGGCCTCACTCCTGGGGATGGGTGGGGCCTGTCCTGTCCCCAGAGAGGGATGGACCAGGTGTCCAGGGCACAAGGAGTGGTGAGA